TGCGGACGCTGAGCCGATCTGTCGTGGGGAAGAGGGAGCTGAGCCAGAAAGCCAGGCTCTCGATTTACCGGTCGATCTACGTCCCAATCCTCACCTATGGTCATGAGCTTTGGGTAATGACCGAAAGAACGAGATCGCGGATACAAGCGGCCGAAATGAGTTTCCTCCGTAGGGTGGCCGGGCTCAGCCTTAGAGATAGGGTGAGGAGCTCGGACATTCAGGAGGGACTCGGAGTAGAACCGCTGCTCCTCCGGATCGAAAGGAGCCAGTTGAGGTGGTTTGGGCATCTGGTCAGGATGCCTCCTGGACGCCTCCCCGGGGAGGTGTTTCGGGCATGTCCTGCCGGCAGAAGGCCCCCGGGTCGACCCAGGACACGTTGGAGAGGTTACATCTCCAATCTGGTCCGGGAACGCCTTGGGGTCCTGCCGGAGGAGCTGGTGGACAAGGCCGGGGAGAGGACGGCCTGGAGCTCCCTAGTTGGGATGCTGCCCCCGCGACCCGGACCCGGATAAGCGGAGGAAGACGAGACGAGACGAGACGAATAAAATGAATGAATGAATGAATGAATAACTTTTTTTGTAAATTAACAGTGTTGTCAATTAACAATTCAAGGTTATCAAATAAATCAATCGTAATTGGAATGGATTAAATTATTTTATACTTGTGAAAAAATGTGGCACATGAAGTGGAAAAGCTGGGTTTTATAAGCAAAACGTTTTCCTCACATGCGTGTCATCCTGGTCAAAATAATACTGAACATCACAGGGTTCATTTTCTGCAAATTCTTCAGCTAAAATCTAAAAGAGATCATTTAAATGTAATAATACAATTTTAATGATTATGCACCTGTATGGATAATCCTCCATAAACAAATGAACCCCTTCATAAAATTTTCCTTGAAAAGCACTATATGGTGAAATATAAGAGATATTAACTGCAGTTTCTGTCGAGATTATCCAGAAAGTGTAAATTGCCTGTCTGGTACTGCTCTTTTACAAAAAGAGATAGGAAGGAGTTTAGCAGGTGTGCTATTAATCTTTCAGTCATTTTTAGGGATTTCTCCTTTGAAAGGAAAAATGTGTCACTTTATTTATAAATAACAATTTGATCATAAGATGCCTGATTTTCCTAATTTTCTTGAAAATGTAGCTCTAAATATAAAATTACTTATATATATATATATATATATATATATATATATATATATATATATATATATATATATATATAATTTGTTCAATTGTTCTGTACGGCACTTATAGCTTATCTGTTGTTTTCCCAACAGGGGGCGCTCCAGGATCATACATTCACACATAATTTTTAAAAATAGTTTGACTTGAAAAAGATGGCTTTGTTTTTTAAATAATAACCTGTAATGACAGACTGACTTATGAAATGTAAAAAAAAAGTCATATTAACAGATACTTTTCTTCAGCACCAGCTTTGATCAGGTGAACCAATAACAGTGACTGCACTGCTTTAGAGGTCTTGGTGACCTGAATCACGTTGACCTTTATGTCTAATATTGCCCCTGAAATTGTGAAGAAGTTCTTATTTCTTTTTTTCCTGCCCAGGTTAAAGCAGACCATTCAGACCCTGGTTTAATGAGCCAGCCCGACTTTGTTTAGTTGATTGGCTGTTTAGCGCAATACAAATTTGTAATGGACTACCAAGGTCCAACCAGAAAGAACAAGATTTAACCAACCTGTGCATGATGAACTTTTTAATTTGGACAATAAATCCATGGGTGCGCAAACAGAAATGGTCATTGTGGTGTGTGAGGAAAGGACACATTTAAGACAAAAATTAATTGAATGAGTTGCTTTTATTAAAATACAATGTAGTAAAGTCACGTAAAATTTAAAAAGTGGGGTAACTTGTAATGAAAGTCTGTGTTGGTGGTATTTACTGCTCCAATTTATTAAATTATTATATGAAATATGTTCCCTTTGAACAGTTATAAATAATTGCAATCTTTATGTGCTACACATAATTATTTGAACAACCTCTGTTTGGCAAAGCAGTTGTGATTGAACAGATGGGCTACCCCATTGAAAGCACCTTTCTGAGCCAGAAGACTCCAGAACACTTTACACTACAGTGAATAATTCACCCATTCATTCACTGGAGGTGATGAGCTGCAATGTAGCCACAGCTGCCCTGGAGCACACTGACCGAGGCGAAGCTGCTGTGCAGGCACCAACTGGTCCCTCCGGCCACCAGCAGCAGGCAAGGAGGTTGAAGTGTCTTGCCCAAGAGCACAACAACTGACACAAAGTCTGGGTTTGAACCGGCAACACTGGTTGAAGGACGAACTCCTGACTACTGAGCCGCTGTCTCCCCCACACAGTCACTATGGCGTCTGGTCAAAAGCTTATTAACTCATTCACTGCCAGCCTTTCCTGATCAGAAAAGCCCCTGGCTGCCATTGCTTTTGAGCGTTTTTACTGTTTTGTGAAGAATCACAGAATTTTGTGCGCTATGATCATGTAAATGCCAAAACTACCAAAAGAAAGTGTAGACTCACATCAGGAAGAATCTGCGTGTTTCTAGCATTATCCGTTCTTTCATAATCCGTTGTCGAATTGTGTGCGGCAGAACCTTTTCCGGGCTGCGCCTTGTTTTTTTCGCAGCAGTGGCTCAAAACAATCTCCTAATTCATGGATTTTCTGCATCCTGATTACATGACATGTAACATATGCAGATGAAGATCAGCTTTAGAAACATGATGCTAATTCTCATGGTGCGGGGTCTCGTTCCCATGCCCGCCCCGTAAAAAATGCAGTTGACAACTGTCTTACATTCTACAGAAGCTAATTTCTGACATTACCTCTGTTAAATGCTGCAGAAACACTTTCCCCACTCAGTAGCATTCCCTCACGCAAGTAGCATGTCTGGTCAGAACTAATCTTTCTTTCTACAAACAGAGGCTGCTCTCCTTTGTCATCTACAACAGATTAGATATAGTTGTTCCTACAGTTTCACGGAAACTCATTTTGCAATAGCTGAACCTTAATGACTTCCACACTCACACACTGAAAAGCTCTGATTTACACTTTCTTTAGGCATCATCTTTTAACACGTTTTTAAAGTATTTGTTTAACAACAAACACAAATGAGGACATGGCAATGTATTGCTCATTAAATTACAATATAATGTCAAAGTCAGAATCACAAGCATGACCGACAGCGGTCATACAAAACCTGCAAATGATAAATGAAAATAGTTTCAACAGAAAACCTCACACAGGACTTAAAACTAGTTATTTTTCATTGCATAAAAGACATTTATTGCTGCAGGTTGTTGTTAGTACCCATATTATGAGTTGGAGTAACATGGATGGTGGCAACATAGAAGGCAAAGCAAATGGCTTTCATGAATCCACACTGTATGTACAGTCTATGATCCACACACTTTGAAACCTTGTTTATTAATAACAAGGGATGTAGGCCGCCTGTCTGGGGCCTGCGACTGATCCAAGGGCACTGCTGAACGTCACAGGTGAAATCCCAATCTAGATAAACTTAATACAGGTTCTTCATTTTCCTTAGCGAATATTCATGTTTAAATACGCCTCTGTGGGCAACAGCAAAACCAAAAATATAGTCAAATTTACTTTGAAAACAAGACGAGGTAATTACAAACAGTATACCTAAATTTGTCAAACTACAGTATTATAGAAGAACGCATAATTTCTATAATCTTTCATGTGTAAATACTTTTGTTTGTCCCAAGGGTAACATTTAACGAGCAGTGTTGTTGGCTTGTGGACTCTGTCCGCTGCACACCAAATCCCAGTATTTTTCCATCAAGAACCACGCTATACCACGTGATCAGAAAGGGGAGAAAAAAAAATCCTGACATGTTTGTATCTTCAGTTGACAGCGGTTCTGTGTACATGACAACTAAATAGCCAGCTACACACCGTGTCGCCTTTACCGCTGGTGCCACCTCAAATCAGCGGCGTCCGGCTCTGTTTTCATCTCCGCCACTCACTCTGGAAACTGTTTTCTTTAGATCGCTTCTTTAACCCCATGCGTTCATTATCGTGTAACCACGCCCACACGTGGCTGGTGGAAAATTACCAGCTTACAAGCGTCAGGCAAATGAGTGGCACTTTGCAGTTCATCGTATCATTCAACCCACTGGTGTTACCAGCATGGGGCACTCAGTCTTTTCAGAACATATAACGTTTTTAAAGTAGCAAAACATCCCAGTTAACGGTAAAAGCTGACTAAGTGCGTTTATTTTGCCTGTAACGCGCCACACGCACGGACTATAACACCACATTCAATTTGAGACTACGACTAGGTTAAATAATGTTTAAACTAATGTGACTTCAGTCACGGGCGTTTTCCTGAAAAGCGAAATCATGAAGAAGTCCACTCTAAATGATAGTCTGCTCTCTTTTTCTCTTCGGGCGGAAAAATTGCTTGGGCGCTTGAACGAATTGAAATAGACTGACAGGTGATTAGGCCAATGAGATGCCAGATAGGCTGCCCGTGCAAAAGGCGTAGCCTATCAGCGACGCGTGTGGGCGGATCGTTAGTCAAAACTTTACGCGGCGCCATCGGCTGAAAACTAAACCGAGATGGAATCTCCCAGTCTGAACCGGTTTCAACCGGTTGAGTTAGCTGCTTGAAAGAGGAGGCGAAGCGCAGGCACCCAACCTCTACACCGCCCCGCTGGAAAAACATAAGAGTAACGAATTAATTAGTTAATCAAGGTTTACTTTTTTTCGTAAAATGGATCGGAATGATAGACTACTGGCTTTGCCGTGATAGTAGTTTTGGAATCCACATTACTGATTCAGAAAGACATCATTCACTGCTGGAACAGGAGATACTAAATCAACGCTGATACAGTAGTAGTAATTGGAACTATTCTCTATTCAACAGTGTCACTGTTTCTGTAGGATTTTTTTAAACGCCAATATTTTGAGTCAGAGCCTTGGACGTTAGGTAGGTAACTCTGGGGTGAACTTTTTACTTTCCCATGCTGTAATCAACATTTATTGGTTTTACGTGTGCAGTGAATAAAAATGCAATTTTCTGAATTATAAATATGTGTTAGTTAAGAATTACTCCGGCTGTCATTGTGCTTTTGAAAACGCTAATTTAGACCGCGTCAGTCAGATATCCAAGTGGCTGTTGCTAGCTAGCTTTATCACTAATATTAAGATGCTGTTGACGTCATGGGAAGTGTTTTAACTTTGCTTAAGCAAACGCACAAGTAATATTTTGACACGGTTTAAACCTTTTTAAATCCTCGACTTTCACACCACAGCATCACTTGTGTGCGTGACCTATGCGGATGTTTAAAAAATGTTGCCAATTACTTAAGCAGTAGCTAGCGTTAACTTGACCCGAATCATCTAAATATGATGTCCTGTCCCTCCGGAGTGCAGCGGCTTCACAGATATGTCAGCCTGACAAGCCTGGAAATTATGCAGTGAGTAACATGATTGTATGGACGTCCTCTTACTGGCATCCTTGGTGGGAGTGGTTGCAGTGAGCATTAAAAGATCACATGTGACCTGAACGTGCAACACGCTAACAGCTAGTTGGGTATGTCGCGTGGTTGCTGGCTAATTTAAGCACCATGTGTGCGACGTGCACGCTGTTTACAGCAGCACAGGCACAGCGATCACTAATAAGTATTTTTATAGCTTTGTTTAGTTGCCAAACATGCCTCCTCGCAAATTGCGTTGCAGTGTTTGGAGTGATTTTTGTTAGCAGATGTAAACATTGTGACGTCGTTTGGTGTATCCGGCACGTGTCTTTTTAATAAGTCCTAGATTACCGTGTCTAATTATTAAACTGTACAGTCCTCATAGACGCATGCAAGCACCTGTAGAGCCACATTTTCTGTCAAATGTACGTTTGTTTTCTGTTCAAACAGGGCAGTGTCATTGACTTTGGTTTTCTCAATGATGTACTTTACCATTTACTGATCAATATTAACCCATTTTTTTTAAAAGGAGCTGCTGCTACAGAGGCTTTGATGGTTTATTCATTACAGATAAATAGGCCACTGAGAAATATCTTTTTTTTCTGTCTAAAGTGTCAAGATTGACATTTTACACACATGATCACACATTGTGATAGTTCTTTGTTTCCTTTCATTCGTTTACATTTTGAACAGAGATGGATGTGACACCACAAGCTCTACTTTTCAAAATGACAGTTCATTGCTGGGTTTACATGATGTTTGTGACATGATCAGCTGTTTAGACTTGTTACCAAAACACAATTCAAATGACTTTTGCTGGATGCACTCATGATTCCTTCCTCTGGTGTTTCTGTTGCAGAATCCTATGCCAGCAGTTATGACAATGCTAGCAGACCATGCTGCACAGCAGCTGCTGGATTTCAACCAGAAATTGGATATCAACCTGCTTGATAATGTGGTGAATTGTCTCTATCATGGAGTGGGTCCTCAGGTATGTTGATGGGTTTTGATGTCATACTCATTGCCCCAATTTTGTCACAGGATAGTTTGCATTAGGGCTGGGTGTAAACGATTATTTTTAAAACTATTATTCTGATGATTATTTTATCGAATAGTCGACTATTCTAATGACTATTTAGATGATTAATCTAGCGATTATTTTCTTATTGCACAATTAATAAAAACAAGAAAATCTCAAATAAATTCCTCCAAAAAATTGACAAATTGTTACTGTAAGAGAATAAACACTACAGGCCTTCCACTTTGTATAACACTGCTTTTATTGTGTTGCGGTTGGTTATGTTCTGGTGACGTGTTGAACTTGGGAGTGCAGGCTGCTGCCTGAGAGATGGTTGGAGACGGAGTGTCTCCATGCTGCTTTGTTTTGGTCACTTATGTGCGTGAGGCGAGTGGTGTTACGACCCTTCCTGGGGAGTTTGGCTCGTGTGCAAAAAGGAAGGGACAATAATGTGGGATTTCAAAGTTAAAATGATGATCAGGTTTATTTACAACAACAAAAAATCATAAATCTTTCCATCCACAAGTTGGGAATAATAAAACTAATGCTGCCTGTGGGGAATTAAAACAAAAGTACAAATAAGTAGAGATGTCCCACTGGGCAAAGATTACTGGGTTCTGGACCAAAATAAGGATCTCCAAAGGTCCAAACTCTAAACTGGGTGGTTAAACCAAACTCAAGGTGATATTTTAAACTAAACCGAAAACCCACAACACTATAAATGTAATAAAAGGGAGATCTACACCACAAAAAAGATGAACTCTAAACCAAAACGTAAAGGCTTATCCAAATGCAAGAAGCTGTTAGCGAAAATGCTAACAGTAGCTTTACCAACGTTAAGTTCAAGTTACCAAGTTTAAATAAACCAAAAATACCCAGCAAACAGACCAGCGCGGAGGAGAGACTGCTACCACCAAAACAGCTCTCCTAATGTCTGAAAGAAGCTCCTTTATGAAGGGATTTCTCCCTCGCTCCCGGTGATTTTCTACATCTGCGGTAGAGACGAAGCAGCGCTTTTGACCCCGGAAGTTGTTGTTCGTTGCCGGGAGACGAAGGCGGGCAAAACAGGAAAGGAATCTAGTAGGGATGTAAGAAAATATCGATATGGCAATATATCGTGATATTTTTTCCAGCAATATTATATCGATATTCAAAAGCCGTGTATCGGAAATATTGATATGGCAATATATCGTGATATTTTATTCCTGCGATTATTACATCGATATTCAAAAGCCGTGTATATAATTTTTGAAAGAATTTACATGCAAACATTTGTGCATTTTCTTTTCGTTTTGTGCAATTCAATCGCCACCCGCTAGTTGGCAACGGGTTTTGTTTCCACCATTGAAATGTAAATCCCTCCATCATGGTTCAGATACCTCATGTTAAACATGTTACGTATCAGTTTGGACTGTTTATTGAACATTCTTACAATAAATTCAGTAAAAAAAATTGCTTGTAACGTCTGACTGAATGTATCGCAATATATCGTGATGTATCGTATCGTCTCCCCTGTATCGTGATATGTATCATATCGCCAGAATTTCAACAATACACATCCCTGGAATCTAGTAGCGGACGGACATTGTTCCGGGTCTTCGATATTTGGCGGAGATGTTAGTGAAGGCAGAGAAGAGGGCGAACTAGAAGAGGAAAAACTTGCAGGTTCCTCCTCTATTTACAAACTCCTGGGGATGCAACAATTGGGAGTGGTGCGTCGACTACTGGATCTGACATCGACAAATTTTTAGAATTGAGCCGTCAACGTCATCGACGCTTCGCTACAGCCCTAGTTTGCATAGTAATCCTGCTTTGTATGTTTAATTTTCCTATTTATCGGAGAAAATGGTAGCCTTCGGCATCGTTCATGGATAAACCTTTCTTGTTGGTGATTTGATCCTTTTTCAGAGTTAGTGTACAGTTTCACTGACCACACCATATCTGCCCACCTGTTAGTGATTAAACTAATAATTTCTTAGCAATAATTGGGGGAAAAAAAGAAGTTACACTTTACAGATCATTTTAAAATCTCTGGGGGACAAATAAACTAAAAAGTCACCATGATCTTCTCATGGGTTAAAGACCTGAATCAGCTTTTCTAATAGAAGAGAAACAGTTGATTCCAATATATCATAAAATGTATTTATTCAGTTAACCAAACAATTGCTAATGAACAATTTGTGTTTTAGCATCAGAAAGTAATGTGAGTTTTTATTTCTCTTCTTGTCGTTTTCAGGATTTGTTAAATAAGATAATCAATCAATCAAGGCTTTATTTATATAACGCCTTCTTCACCCATTACGGGAGGCCAAGGCGCTGCAGAACAAAATATAATCATGAAAAAAGAGATTGAAATAGGGCTGCTCAATTAATCGAATTTTAATCCCAATTACGATCTGAGTTTTGAACGATTATAAAAACAAAACAAGCCGATTATTTGCTCCTCCCACTTGCGCTGCCCTGAGTTCCCAATGAAGCGCTCCTCCACAGTGTTGCCAACTTAGCGACTTTGACGCTATTTCTAACAGCTTTTCAGACCCCCTTCTTGACTTTTTAAATCTTAAAAGTACCTAATGAACACGTCAGAAACATCTCTGGTAACCCTTAGCTACTTTCTGGATAACTGTCGTCAACATTTCCTGCAGGTTAGCTAAACACTCCGCCTGCGCTCCGGACCGTTCTTCAGGACATTAGGAAAGGGAATGATGTAGTGATGTGTCAGTCGCTAAAGAAACGGCTCTCGGAGCCGGCTCCTTGTTGGATTAACCAGAGTGAGTGACACACACACCGTACCTGCGGGCTCCTGAGCCGCTAGAAATGTGCGTGTGCGGGGCGCTTAACACGTGCAGCTTGCCCCTGATAGCTGTGAGACGGGGTGGGGGGGTGCAGCTGTGATTGGGACAATTATAATATTAACTGATGGACTTGTAAATGAATAGTTTATAAATAAGGTAGAAATAAGTTCCTCACGCTGATAACTAATCTCTCTGAGGACACGTTGCTAGTGCACTCTCCTACAGCACCTTGACACGACTCAATAAATGTTATGCAACATTTTGTGAACATCAATTTATTTGTTATAAATGCCACTGTATAATTCTTGCTGTCAGTATTTGCAAGATATTGGTATTTGGGTCTGTACTGTTAGACTTAAATGAGTTAAACCAAGGTCTACAGCCCTTGGGTCATAGACTATGAGCTATAAGTATATTGGTCTTTTTATACAGAGAATCAGGAGTTATTTTAGTGATCATCTTGTTTCTTATTTATTTTTGCCCTGATTGTACCCTGAGCAATTTTATGACTGAATAAAAACAAATAAAATCAACATAAATTGAGAAATCGTCCTAAATAATCGGGATCTCAATTTCAGTCACAATAATCGTGTTTTTGCCATAATTGAGCAGCCCTAGATTGAAACATGAAACAGCAGAATTAAAAGCAAAGAATCAAAACTACATAAAAGTAAGCTAACTTCAGGAAATGCTAAACGAAAAAAGTGGGTTTTCAGGCGACTTCTACTACTGTTGTTTGACATATTCTCTTAATCTTTGTTTTAATAAGGGTGTTTAAAATACAGCAGTCATCCTGCTTATTATTTTCTCTATAGCAACTACTATGGTAACCGGTGTTGGGATTAAATATTCCCATTCCCCATCACCGTTACCAGGCATGTAAAGTGGCACGTTACTATAATGTGTTTGAATGAAGCACAACAGAGCTGTCAAGCTTTCTGACAGCCACACTAGTCATGTGTCGGTCGCGCACGAAAGTGCTCTTGGAGCTGATCAGTGAGTGACACTGGCTGCAAATCAGCTGATCTAAATAAGCATGAAGGTCAGAGAGGAAGAGTAGGATGGACACCGATAAAGGAACTGTAATGTCAGGGCTGTACGTTACATTTTTAGCTAATTCCTGGTAGCGTGAGTCTCACTCACGTACTTGACTGTAAAGCTGATTCTGAAATGTCGTCAGATATTCTTGTCAGTGTAATTTAGAAAAGAATCCGATCGCTACTGTGTTAGCATGACTGCAAATCAGACAACGGTATGTGGCATACATGACATCACCACTGAATCTCCTCTCCCCTAGCGTAGCTGCTACTTACCTAATGGCCAGATTTATGGTGTTTTCTGTCCTCCTGAAGGAAGGATTTGAAGTTTGCTGAACTTGCAGCCACTTCCCTTTGTTTTTCTCCATGTCTGGTTCGATTACATCACTTTTGAGAAGCGCATTTGTAGTTCTGGACTTATTTTTACACAAAACTAGGGCTGCACGATATTAGGAAAACCTACAATATTCGAGAACATCAACACTGCATACTTTAGTATTTCTTCATTTATCGCAAGTAATATTGATATCGCAATATTAAGCACTGTTATCGAATATCGCAGGTTTTCCTAAAATCTTGCAGCCCTAGTTCACCGGCACGTGTCGGAGTCAGCCCGGTTATTATCAGCTGCTTAACGACACCGAGCGGACTCAAGTTCACGTTTGAAAGCAGCGCTGATTCCAGAAACCGCAGCACAAAGTGCGTTCGTTGCTCTGAGCCAGCATGATGAACAAGGGAACGGCGCCGCTAATTCAGTTCGGGCGTTGCGTTCCACCCATCCTGTCCACGTAGGGGGCGGGCGTATTACGTGAACGGACCCATCTGATTGGCCGCATATCAGAAGGGCTACATTTGACTGGTCAAATATCACTTCCACGTAAAAAACATAGCTGGTTTACAAAAAGTTGATGTATTGTGTCATACATCAACTTTGGAAGTGTTTGAACCAAACATTTATCGCTGTTTTTGACGGGCTTTGCGATTGGCCTATCGCACATCCTGTTATCGCGATGACGATATTTTTTCGTTATATTTTGCAGCCCTACACAAAACCTAAAAATAACGCCCCCCCCCCCTAAAATGCGCGTTGTTGGTATCGAAATGCATCTTTAAAATTCACAGACATCATATGTGAAATCCATGGCTCATTATAAGCAAAATTAGAAAATGGCGTTTTTTTGCCCTTGCATTAGTTTTTTTGTTCTTTCTGGGACCCATGGTGCAGAAGTGGATGGGCGTGACTTAGGCTCCCTATAATATATATTAAATTTGTGTTGTATAGGTTTCTCTTTCCCACCTGATATTTATAGTTAGATGTTTTATGAAAAAAATGACCTACGTTTCAGTAACATTTTACTTTCTTTATTTCGTTTTACTCATCCAACCCCCATAAATCCCTGTGTGTCCTCCTGCAGCACTCCCGAAGGACAACAGGCAAAACAAGACAAAAACATCTGACGTGTTGAGTAAAAACTGTTATTTTTAGCATATTTTTAGGGCCGACGTGTTGCTACCAGACGTAGTGTGAGCGCCTGGCTTGTGAGATCTGCTCTGCGAGGAAGTCGTACAGTTTGAGCTGAAGCTGAGTGCTACGAGTGAAAAAGTCGCACAGTGTACGCCCGGCTTTATGCTGTAACTTCACCTTGCCCTGCCTGCTTCTCCTTTCTGCCCGCCGGCTGTGATCACAAGCGATAACATAGTAGTTCCCGCTGCTTCTTCGGGAAACGGCGCAAAAAAAAAAAAAAAAAAAACTTGGGTCGCTACACCTATGTAAGGGAAACCCTGAACCTTCCAATTACGGTGCAAGCACTTAACTCCTGTTCCATCATTGCCCGTTGTTAGATTATGCGACAGCCAGGTTGAAGAGAGCACAGTCTCATGTTAGAGGTTTGTCATGAAAACATTGAGATACCTGAGATACTGATGACATCTAAAAAAAAATTCAATCGTGTGTCACTCACTCGGGCTCTAAGAGCTGTTTCGTTTGCAACCGACACATCAATACATAATTCCCTTTTCTAATGTCCAGAAGGGGGGTCCAAAGTGCAGGCTGAGTGTTTTGCTAACCTGTAGGAAGTATCAACATTATCCAGAAAGTACCTAATGGGTACTAGAAATGTTTCAAGGTTGTTTGTTAGGTACTTTCAAGGGAAAAAAATCAAAGAAAGGAATCTGAAAAGTTGTTAGAAATGGCGACAAAGTAGTTAAAAGTTTGTGCACTCGATTTGCAACACAGAGTAAACCACAAGGAAGGAGCAAATAATCGTCTCGTTTTGTTTTTATAATCGTTCAAAAGTCAGATCGGTATCGTGATTAAAATTAGAACAATTGAGCATCCCTAACTAACAGGTGTGCAGACATTGTGATGTCTTGGTAAGATTTCCAGTGTCTGCTTCTCGTTGCACTCTGGTGTTGGAGAAGGCTGAAACGTTTTCTGTGGAGCCTGTCGTTATTAGTTTATGAGAACATTTTGGAGGTAATTTTTCTATGTATTTAATTCCCATGAATTATGCATTCTGTTTTTTATTATTTCAGCAAAGAATGGCGCAGGAGGTGTTGACACACCTAAAAGAGCATCCTGATGCGTGGACCAGAGTGGACACTATCCTGGAGTTCTCTCAAAACATGAACACTAAAGTAAGCTAGCTCAGCTCAGCTAACACCGGTACAAATATCTGTGTGCTCTGATTGTATACACAAAGAATTTATCATTCATGAGGAAGTTTACTGTTTGTATTGAGAACAATTTTATCTATTGTGTAGTACAGGTTGCTTGTTCCAGCAGATGTAGGAAAATTCATGCTGGGTGTCTCATACCTTCAGTTATGAGCTTGGTTCTTTAGAGAAAGCAAACTTGGATGAATCTGATAAAAATCCCACATAGGTCCGTTGTTTCAGATCTCATTATTTAAGTCTCTTTCCTCATTAGACTTGCTCAAAAGTAATGGTCCATTTTGATGTTTATGCAGACCAGAGATGTTTATGTCAGGAGCATGTGTGTCTGGAAACCCAGAGGGCCAAAATGTTTGCATGAAACAAAAAGGAAAACCTACAGCGGTCGCTCATAACACTAGAGACTGATGAGAAATTTAGATTTTATTTTTTTTAATGAAAACCAACTAGTGAAAATTTTAACATTGCTTAAGAATTCATGATAATGATAATAATAATAATGATCAACCAATGAAAGTGGCTTGGACACAAAGGATGACACCTTCAACATAACATTTAACCACGAGTTCATCCCATGAACCACAAACTTGTAAAACCTCATCAGCGATAACTTCCTCTTCTCCTTTTGTAAGAAAAACCAACCATGCCACCATTTTTAAGAGCTAGTTGTCAGATTAAATAGTGTAATATATTCTCTTTAAAAGATGATTATAGTTTTTTTGAACTCAAACGCAGATTAAAGAACTTAACTAGAATTTAAAATAAATGCAGCTGCGTTTATCACTAAATCGAACGTTCTTTAAACAGAATAAGATTTTGTTTCTGTAGTTCTGCCCTTTGTTGGGTCGTTTTGGGAGTCTGACAAACTGGCTTTAGTTTTGTTAGCCTCAGTACAGGCTTGTACTGTCATTCAGTAGACTAATAAACACCACTTTCGTTACGTTTCGTTACTAGACTTGGTTTTTATTGATTCTCTGACAATTTAGCAAACAGACAATTGTTTTTTTTTTTTTGTCAGACTTGTAAAAATTGAAAACAAGACTATGCTGGTGAACTCCTGTAACCTTTAAATAGTATCTTTTCCTCTACCTCTCCTTGATGCGACATCTTGTGTTTGCACTGTGCTGTCATCTATGATAGCTTCCAGTCAGGTTTTCGTAGAGCTCATTCTACTGAAACAGCTCTTCTTAGGGTCTCTAATGACCTTCTGACTCACAGTGATGCAGGGGACGGTTCTGTTCTGGTCCTGCTGGACCTGACTGCAGCCTTTGACACTGTTGACCATCACCTGCTACTGGAGAGGCTGAGAGACTGGGTAGGCCTATCAGGAAATGATCTGGAGTGGTTCTCCTCTTTTCTTTCTGAGCGTTCCTTTTCTGTGGCCGTCTCCAAGTTTAGGTCCTCCACCACCTCCCTTACCCATGGTGTCCCACAAGATTCTGTGCTGGGGCCTCTGCTCTTCCTCCTCTATCTGCTTCCTCTTCAGCACATCCTGAGCTTTTTTAAAGGAATCTCCTACCATCTTTATGCAGGTGGCATCCAACTGTACATCTCCTTTAAGCCCCATGAGATGTCTAAGCTGCAGCTGTTACACACCTGCTTAGACTCTCAAAACCTGGATGGTGGTAGCTTTCTACCGCTGAATGAAGATAACCCCCAAATTCCACTACCTCCGCTCCGCTCCGACACGAACGCCGGAGCAAAATCGGTCCCGTTGTAGTCAATCAGAGCAATTCCTCTACTGCGGCCGTGCTCCGGCAGTGCGGCACCGTGCGCCGCCCTCTGCTCCGGCGTCCGGCAAAAATAGAATCGATCCTATTTTCGCCGGACGCCGGAGCACCTCCGCAGTAAATGGACAGAAATCACAACGGCCCAACAGGAAAAGGAGCAAGCACAATTTCCATATTTCACAATAAATCGATAAACAAAAGGCGTTTTTTGTTTCATATGCACAGGTTTAAAAACTTTTAACAACTATCAATGGCGGCTGAAGTTTAAATGCACAAAATTAAGCCATAAATACAGTTTCCACTATCAAAGTAGACACACTTTGTTGATCCAAACACTGCTGATCTCTCAACACAAATGATGGGCAGATTAAACAGCTCATGCAGATGCTTCTCCCACACAACGGGTGTTTGGATCTAACTTCCGCGTTTATTGCTCGGACTGTATCGCAAGATCTCGAAAATCCCGCGCATGCTTGTTTGCTCTCCTCAGGTCTCCGCACCGGAGCGGAGCCATTGTAGAGCGGGTACCAGTAAAAATTGAGTTCGGAAGCGAGCGGCTGCGGAAGGCGGGGGCGGAGCGGAGGTAGTGGAATTTGGGGGTAAGACTGAGATCCTCATCTGTGCCCCAGACAAGCTGGTTCCCAAAGTCAGAGACTCTCTTGGTCAGCTTGCTTCTCACACCAAACCCTCTGTCAGGAATGTTGGTGTGACCTTTGACCCAGCTCTCGCCCTGGATTCTCATGTCAGTTCTCTTGTTCGCTCTTCCTTCTTCCATCTCAGGAACATTGCTAAGCTGAGTCCCATTCTGTCCCGCTCTGAACTTGAGACAGTTTTCCACACCTTCATCTCCTCACGCTTAGACTACTGTAACTCTCTTTTCACGTGTCTGAGCAGAACCTCCCTGAACCGTCTACAGGTGGTTCAGAACGCCTGTGCTCGGCTTCTGACCAAGTCCTCCAAACACACCCACATCACCCCGCTTCTCCTCCAGCTTCACTGGCTGCCAGTCAACTTCAGGGTTCATTTCAAGATCCTGGTTCTGGTCTATAGGGCCTTACATGGACAAGCACCATCTTACATTGGTGATCTTCTTAGTCCCTACACCCCCAACAGGTCCCTGAGGTCCAGTGATCAAAGCCTACTGGTTGTGCAGCACCAGGCTAAAGACCAAAGGTGACAGATCATCTGCTGCTGTGGCCCCCAGACTCTGGAGTTCTCTCCCCCTGAGCCTGAGATCACTGGACTCAGTGGTCTCCTTTAAAGAGCAGCTGAAAACTCACCTGTTCAGGCTTTTGTATGACCTCACCCTCTCCTTGTTCTGCTCTCCCCACCTATTCCACCTTCCTCAGGATCCACTGATTTCCCTCTTTCCTATTCACTCTCTCTCTTTCTGAACATTTTTTTAATCACAATTGTCTATTTTTGCCCATTTAAAATATATTTTTAACCATTTTCTAAATTATTTTTCATATTTTTTACATTTTTTTGTTTTTGTGAAGCGCCTCGTGATTTTCATCTTGAGAGGCGCTATAGAAATGATACTTTCTTCTTCTGTATGTTTTGGGTTGAGAGTTTTTTGTTCTGTGTTTTTTATTGGTCAGGAGTAAATAATGACTCTAGTATTGAGCTACGCGATAGGCTACAATGAAAGAAAGAAAACTTTTCATTGAAGTTTTCATTGACCCATTTTTTTTCTCTATCGCACCACATGCCTATCAGTTGACGTATATCCTTATTGAATTGTTGTTCAGCTCTCTTTCATAGGTTTTCTGTAAATGTTTGTTTGAAAACGATAATAAATTGTTCTTTTTGTAGCTAAGCTATGACCCTCAAAGTTTTCCCAAAATATTTCAAACTTTTTTTTAAAGAAAGAAATAGTTGAAAGTCATTTTCATCACACAACGTATTCCAGGTGACATAGAAAACCTGTGAAATCTTTCATAAATTCATATTGATCAGCAAGCAATCATGACATCATACAGATGTGTCCAGTGTTTAGAAACACTTGATATGAATTCTTCATCATCAATATTTAACTGAAACGTTAGACTAACCCAGACCCTGATTAGTGGGTTAGCATGTTTAGTCTCTTCCTCACTGGTGTGATACTGAGAAACGGACAGAAATCAGTTAAGCAGTAAGAAATGGTGCTCAATACAAAAACTACATGAAAACTATAATTCTGTCAGATTTAGAAATAAAAAGCTCAAATTGGTTAATTTAGCTTTGCTTCTATGTTGTTAAAATTAAACAGCACTGTTGATAAATCATGCTAATGCTTTATGTCTTGCCTTTTGCAGTACTATGCTCTACAGATACTGGAAACTGTTATAAAAACAAGGTGGAAGATTCTGCCCCGGAATCAGTGTGAAGGTAAGAGTTGATTTTGTGATGTTCTTTATGACACTATTCAGTTAGCATTAGCATTAACCCTTCTGCTTGCAAGAAGTTTGATTCTGCATTTCAATGGCTGGTCCACCTGCCCCCCCCCCCCCCCAATTCTGCTGTTTTAAGGCCAACAAAGGGCTCAAACCTGTGTGTGTGTGTGTGTGTAAACAGGATGTTTTTTGTGTTTTTGTAGCCGTGGTGAAGTGAGGGGTGGATTGTTAAATGATGTCTCTTTCTGATGGATGTGGATACTGTGCCATGAATTACACCACATTAGTATAACAGGTTTAATAATATAATAAACAGTAAAAATTTAAGTCTCACAAGCTTAATTGTCGCCTAATAGCCAATTTTTTACATTTCAACGTCTTGTCAGTTTTCTGTTGGGACATTCAATAGAAATCACATCTGATGTGATTTTTTTTAAAGGATTTCAGAGCAGAACTGTCCGTGTTTGACCTGGGTTCCAGCTTACGAGGGGGAAAATTAGAAATTTAAATTGAAAATCGTTGTCAAATCAGTTGATTCTCCCTCTCTCCATTCTTCTCTAATTTTTCTAAAAATTCATTTTTCCCATTGACCTAAGACTTACCTGCTTCTGACCGTAGATGCCTGAATTTTGTTCAAGTGGCAAATCCAGTGCAGGGCGACCGGCAAGTATGTCTTTTCCCCCTTGTGTCAGAGTACTGCCTCGTTTTCGGCTCCTCTCACCACACCCTAGCGCAGGATTTTCAGTCCAGCTACAGTTGAAAAGCAAAAGCGAGGGAGCTGAAAATAGTGTTAAGATGCTGTGCTCACACTGACAAACTTGACAGAGACAAATCTAAACAAAAACAAGGGGAAATGTAACTCCGACTGAACTGACCAAAACCTTTTGCCCTGCAGAAGTTCAGTTGCAGTTTCAGCCCACATTCATAATTTTAAATTGGTTTTGCAACAGTAGGATCACACTTTTCTTTTTCAGTGTACAGATGTGGGATTAGATAGATAGTTGCAGGTAGTTTGATGCCAGCAGAATGGATGTATGACGGTTACTGAATAATCTGCTCCAGGCTGCTCGTCATGTCAGGATGGCTGTGTCTCAATTCAGGGTCTGCATCCTTCGAAGGACCCAGCTTACTCGGCCGACGTGGGCTGGGTCCTTCGTCGGCCGGGTAGACCGGATGTTAACGGCTGTGAATTTGGACAGGCCTAGCCTTCATGAATTCCCGCCCCTCCCTCGGCGAACGTTCCGTCGCCTAGCAACCGTGGAACCGCTGAGCAGAAGGGAGAAGGAACTTTAAACGATGGAGCTCGAAGTTTTATTTAGCTTTTTAATAATTTCCTTGACTGTTGGAGAGCTAATTCAGAGAAAATACTTTCGGCAAGCTGAGCCTGAGCAAAGATGTGATAATAGTTTTTAATACTTTCTGAGGGGTCTTAATTTGACCAAAACCGATTTATCACCTTTTAAGACTTTTCAAGACCCAGCGGATACCCGCCAGTAAACAATTCTCATTTGTAAACAAAAATAAAATTCAAGAGTTTAATGCAGAACTGATTTTATTTAGATATTTCTTTTATATGTACATGTTTAATCCTTATTAACCATTTTTCTAGCAAAGTAAAAAGCTGTCAAAGTTCTCCCTTCTCTCCTGGGCCCTCTGCTGCTCTGCCTCCCTCTGCAGCCTCATGTCCTCCCTGATCAGCTCCAGAAGTTGGTCATCGCTGTCACCTTCCCCTGGATGCCCATTTTCTCCAGAATAGTCTTAACAAACATGTAAGAAAAGAAACAGGAAGAGAAAAGAGGACAACGGGTTATTCCTTTCATGTTTTCGCAGAAAAAAATAAACTGAACCCAGTTTTTAAAATATGAGATGTTATTGTACCTCCATGCCACAGCCGCCGAATACTTTGCTCCAGTGATCATGTGGTCTATCTCCGCCCTAAGCTTAATAAATTCCCTGGTTTTCTCTTGTACCTAAAATACAAACTTCTATTAAAATCAGGGGGAAACGTAGCGGGAGAAGTACGACACCGAGCGGCCGAACATATGAGCCGAGACCGCAATACAAGCACTCTTACTTTAACATTTCAAACTAAAATAACGTTCATGTGTCACAAAAAGCCCTTAACCTAACAGTTTTCAAGTTTATACTGACATTTATGTGTGCAATCCTCTCCGACAGCTCCCGCTTCGCTGTCCGCCATTGTTTTTAAGTTTTTCTACCGGCCGGCCCACAAGGCATCTTGGGAAATACTACCTATTGAAGGATACACCGGACCTATCCTTCATTCAGGCGAAAAGAAGGCCGCATTTGAAGGAGTCTTCGAATTGGGACAGGCCGAGTCGCGGCGCTGTGACGTAACCGGCTGACGAATCCGGCCGACGTAGGATGCAGACCCTGAATTGAGACACAGCCGATGTGTTGATGTCGGAATGTTGTTGGCGAATGCTAACTGTGTTTTTCTGATGCTTCTGTGTTTTTGCCAGGTATAAAAAAGTATGTTGTTGGACTCATTATCAAGACTTCATCAGACGCTTCAAATGTAGAGGTGAGTTCACTCTGAAGTGAAACTTGAATATTTAGGAGTTTTATGGTACTTTGATGTAAACGTTGTATAAATGTCTTTGTTCTGCACTTTGGTCAGCGGTCACACTGTTTTAAAACATTACTTAAATTGGACTGGAACATTTTACTTCAAACGTGCAGCTTTCTCAAAATGCAGTGCTAATTTTGACAAGGTTTTTTAATTTAGTCTTAGTCGTTTGACAAAGTCTTAAATTTTAGCAATGATTTAGTTGTCCATTTTGTTTTAGTCTTGGTTATTCTAGTCGTGTAAAATGTGTATTTTTCACAATATTCAATCGAAAATACCAAAATGAACTCTGACCATTTGAAATTGTGTCTCTATTAATAAAAAATACAAATCTGTATAATGTGTAACATTTGTAAACCTAATGAACACTATCAGAATGTTTAAATAAACTCATGTCTTTGTTCTGTTGATGTTTTATGAGTAGTGTAACGAGGTCTTATGATACTAAAGCGTGTAAATATTCCTCTGTGATATCCCAGCCTGGCCTACCAGACTCATCCTCTGTGTAATTCTGCACAGAGAGAGAGTCTGGTGACTCACAGGCAGAGAGGCACATAAGGGGTGGTACTAGTCAGTTCAAAAATAACCAATCAGAAAAAAGACGGAAATGCCAAATGTACCGTGCCACGATGTAGTTTTTTAGCTGTAGTCAAAAATGGCGTCTGGCAATGGCGCAAACATCTTTCTTTAGATGAAAGGCTTGTAGCGCTTCTACTTGTGGTTTTAAAGACATTCAAGTCATTAAGAACAGAAGAAAGAGCCGCAGCGAACTCCGCTTCAGACACCATGTTTATGACAAGCTCTGTGTTGTGGTGTGTGACGTACGCTGCTCAGCGCTGATTGGCTCGGTTAGAATTCTCAGGGGGTGGGGTTATTTGAATAGGAGAGTTCCCAGACCCTTTCTCTGTGCAGAATTAAACAGAGGAGGAGTCTGGCAGGCCAGGCTACGTTGACTCTGCTGCTGCTATCCTGCTTCAATCAGCATGGCTTCATCAGCTTTAGGTGTCATCAACTGGATACCTGGTATAACTGGTAAACTGTAAAGCATGTATAAGATGTGCGAGAAAGTCCTGCTGTGTGCTGCAGCTATCCTGAGCTAATGACACCAAGTCACCTATAGAACCTTAAATCTGAATCATCAGCACCGTGTCCACCTGCTCTTTCTGTCCCAAGTGAGACAAACACAGGCATGCTTTATGTTGCTAAAGCACCAAATGACCAGGTATGGAGCAGTGACCTTTTTAGATCTGCAGCATCTCTATTGCACTTTGAGCCTCAGAAACATGGATCACGACTTTTCTATGTTGGACCAAGAAAAATTCTAATTTCTTTTTATTCTGTATTAACTTTAAATACTACTCCTGCAATGGGAAATGGGGCTCAATCATATGATTTTCAAAGGATCCAGAATCAGGTGGAAAAAAAATCAAATTTCACCTTGTAAAAGAACCAACACGATTTTTAAAATTCATCCTTCGAGAGATTTTAAAACATAATACCAATGTTTTCATTTGAACAAGTTCCTCTACATCAGTATTCTTTGTTTCTGGGACGAATACTTTAACGTCACACAGTTTAGGGCAGGCGGGGATTCAGACGCCATAACATTTGGGATTCGTCTCTTGTCAGTGTGCCCTGAGCAGCTGTGGCTACATCGTAGCTCATCCCCACCAGTGTGTGAATGACTGATTGAGTTGTAAAGCGCTTGGGGGTTCCCGGACTCTAGAAGGCGCTATATCAAATACAGGCCATTTTCATGCTACTGAAGCAAATTCTTAATAAGACTCGTTTGGCAATAAAACACTATTTTGATCATATGTAGGTATTGGCTAGTAGGCTAACGCATCTTCATTTTGGACGAGTTTTAAAGCCGACCTGCTTGTTATAGCTGGTTATGTGTACCTCAGACAGATGGGGGTGCTGTTCTTGCTCTGCAGCTGCTATGGGACCCCTCCCACAAAACAACATTTTCTACCTTTAAAATAGACCTTAGATTGACTTTAATTAGTTGAATTTAGTGATTCACTAAAAAGGTTTTGTTTTGTTAACCTGCTGTTGAGCGAGGAGATGTGAGAGTTGTATTTAAGAAACCAGTTTTCATCTGGGCTCATAAAGCTTTTAAAAAGGCAGAATTCATGAGTTGATCTGAACCGTTTTAAAGGTAGTGGCCAGACCCGGCATTAAAATTGTAGAAATAAGAGTATAACTACACTTTACCATCTATATAAATATGAACTGGGTTCAGTTTTTCATTTTGTTAAGGAATTTAGTCATAAATCATTACAGAAAATCTAAATTCTCCAGGCAGCGAAGAACCGTGTTTTGCATACGTCACTCACACACGTCATACTAGGTAGCTGCTATTGCTAACATGGTAAATCACTGTATTTTGTTTACTATTGTGTTTCTAATTAAAACAGAAAATTGCGTTTACAGCTGCAGCTAAAGGTCTGAGCCATATGTTCGTGTCCCACACGTATTTTTAACTTACATAGGTTTGATCTAAAATAATAACCTACATCTATAAATCCATTTAGAACCGCACCGGTTTCTTCTGCACTCCAGCAGGCGGGTCCTGTTAGCATGACTGCTGCAGCACTAGCACACACACACACACACACACACACACACACACACACACACACACATACAATCTAAAAGATGATCCCCATTTTTCAACAATAGATCCTCCTATAGGACCGGTAGAACCTCTGTGTAGCAAACAATAATCTGAGCTAGCAAGTTAGCATCAGGAAGATTTAGTCCGGTAAGCAATCTGTTAAATATTTTCTGATCTCATATCAATAAATACACCCAGCGGTAAAGCTGGCAACACGTTATTTTACTCATCTGTAGATTACTGAATTATACTGGGACAATATGATGGAGCTAATCAGCTGAGAACTTAACTGAAAGCTACCGGTGGAGCACAGACATGAAATATTTAACAAGCTTTAACAAACTGGTTGGTTTTGGTTCAGAAGACGGAACAGAATCCTCCCTGGTGTCCTAATTGGGCCGCGGGTTTTCTGAGTGAAACGGTCCAAAGCATGTCTGCACCTCCGGTTCTGATATCCAGCTGCAGGGCACGGAGTTCAGTTGAACGTCTCCGGTAATCCAATATCTGTTCTCGTCGCAGTATCCCAGAGTAAAAACAAATCTGACCGACCAGCAGAGGCTTCAGAAGCTACATCTGACAGATGACACGTTGTTCTGCTATAACGCTAATGCAGAAACACCGGAGTCGGGCGTTGTTTTCTACAGCTGTTTCAGCAGATCTCCTTGTGAAATGTCACCAGCTGCCCAGGGCTTAGACCGGAAGTTAGTTTCTGTTTTTCCTGCGCCAGTAAAAGACATCAGATTTTCTTGAAATTCCACCCGCGAAAATCCAAAAACCTTTTTCATCAAAGGTTTTAATACTTCTTTACACATGCCATTCTAAGGAATTTAGCCTCTGGCCGATATCTTTAGAGGTGGTCCATCTGGAAGTGGATTTTCTCTAACTTCAGCGTTTGCGTTTGAAGTCGTCACCAAATTAGTTTTCAGAGTTTACTCACGTGGTCTTCAGGATGGATCATATCTGACTTAAAAAACAATGAAATACGACATTTTAAAATCACAACCACTCCTCTATGTGTGCGTGCATGTAGTTACATGTGTGTGTGTGTGTGTGTGTGTGAGCCAAAGTTTTAATCATTGTTGGTCATTCACATGTGAGTTTATGACATGATTGTGTATATAGGTTTTTATGGGTTTTACAAATGTGTAATTTGGATGTGTTTTTAGAATTTAGAGATTTTAGTGCCGGCTGCTTCACAATGCTGTCTCGAATTGCCCCTCGGGGACTAATAAAGTTGTCTTGAGTCTGGTCCAATTCTTCTTTTTTCCACACAGAAACTTAAATGTGATGAATTATTATTTCTTGTGGGGTTTTTTTTTGTTTTAGAAAGAAAAAGTGTACATTGGGAAGCTGAACATGATCCTTGTTCAGGTAAGTTTCCACAAACAAACATTTTCATTTAATTCTAAAATGATTTATTGGCCATGTCCCCTGTCCTGTCATCAGACTAGAGTGTTTGGCTTTTCCTCCAGCTTGTCTTCTGCAGATGTGGTCTCCTTGTAGCATTTATTCACACTTTAAAATAAAGAACAGTCTTGATTTTGGCTCCTCCATGTGAGTTATCCAGCAGTTACATGTTTAAAGCTAATCACAACGTTCAAAGGTGAACGGGATCTAAACTGATTTGGGAAAACAGCTTTTCAACTTTTAGATCAGAACCGTAAACCTGAACACACACAGCTAGCATTAGCATCAATAAAATAATGCTTCCACATGGAAACACATCAGAATTTACAGAAAATGCAACATTCTATACCTTTATCAGAATAAAAATATATTTGTGACAAGGTTCAACCCCATGCCACCATGTTTGTTTCATCATGTGACAAATATCTACCTAAAATGCATTTATGTAAAAGAGCATCACCAAAAAGTATAATTCTGTTCAGCAGTCAAGCTCAGGGTTGCAAGGAGCTGATAACCATAATTTATTTGTGTTTTTCTACAAAAGAACTTGTGTCTTGTTCAGACCTCAGACATCTAGCTAGTTGGAATAAACATGCTCCTCATAGAAGGCAGCTTAATCCTCTGTCCGCAAAAAGACCCAGCTGTCACCCGAGCTGGGAGGAGCGTTTAAAACCCCCGAGTTCTCCTAATATCACACATTTTACCAGACTCACTGAAAAGGGCAACAAAAGGTTTGGATGAAGAAATTAGGGCTGCAACAAACGATTATTTGGATAATCGATTAATCGGATGGGGTCTCGACTCGATTAATCGGATTGCATGGGGAAATTTTTTAAAACTGCTAGGGAAATGTTTTTTCTCTCCTTCCTTCACTTTATTAAACACAATGTTATTAGAGAACAGTTCAGTAGCAGAAAAACAACATGCTATCATCTAAAATGTCTTACAGCTTCAGATAAGTTGCATTGCAATGCAAAAATGTAAGCATATCAACATGCATAGCAAGTAAGGATGTGTTGACTCCACCCAGCCCCTTCCATGTGTACCATGCAGTTTGCCAGACAACACCTCTTTCTGCCTCATTTAAAAAAAAAAGAATAACCAGAAATGAAGCCCTCAGAATACTTTGGAAGGGGATGAGCAAGGGAGGATAAGGTGTATAGACAGAGACCCTAAGCTACACCTATTTGTGACCTAAAATGCTTGGTCTAAGTTAAACAGCTTAAGGGCAATTCTCATCTGTCTTTTTTGATCTCATCTGTAGACATGTATTATAATTGGGGGAGTCAAACGACTAATTTTTAATTGTAATTAAACGTAGGCTGCAAATTAATCAAAATCACTATTTCCAAAAATGACTGAAAAAATACCTAATAAAACAACAAAACATAAAAGGATGCCGCTCTCCTTGTGATGATGCCCTGGGCAACCGCCATAAAGTCACATCAAGAAATGCTGCTGATCGTTCCAATGATCCCAAATTCCATTTCCAAAACAACACCAACAACTGAACATTGTAAATAGACTGACATGAGGCCACATGAAAGCAACTGAACCCAAAAATACATTAACCAGTATATAACTGCGCACTCACACAACACGCCTGCAGCAACAGTTAGGACTCCTCCCTCCCTTTTAAAAGCGTTTTCGCTTCCGAGGACATTGTGGTTGTAAAGCCACATGTTACTAGTCTGGCCGCTGTGTGATCAACCAGTTCCTGCGGGAATGTGACTGCGGAACCAGTTTGCAGCAGCGCAAGTCTACGGGAAGACCCCCCTCCCCCCTTATCTAATAAGCGTTGCGCTTACAATTTGATAGACTTTTTTTGCTAGCTTGGGGCATGTCTAGCCTGTGTAATAATCTGGGGCTTGGGTGAATCACTTTTGAAAAGTTTTTAACATACCCGGACACTGAGCTCTCTCCCTCCTCGCTGAAGATTCTGACATGCTTGCGTTTAAGATGCTGCATCGTCACCGTTGTACTCCCGTGCCATGCTAAGTCTGACCTACAAACGTTGCAGGTAACGAATGTCTTCGCCTCATTTAACTGAAAATGCTCCCAAACTTTAGAAGTTTTTACTTTTTTGGGTCTCGCTACTTCTGCCATGTTCCTCTTCCAAACACCTGCCGACTCCCTCGCGCTGATCTGACTTGCTCCGGTCTGCGCGCGCGCCCGGGGGGGGGGGGGGGGGGGGGGGGGGGGGGTTGGAAGACTTGTGCGACACAACGAATCGATGATGCAATTCATTGCCAACGCTTTTAATAATCGATTTTTATCAATTCGTTGTTGCAGCCCTAGAAGAAATCAACCCCGACAGCAGAAGATGCTGAAGGAGTGTGAAGATGTGACTTAAGCAGCTGCTATAGCAGAATATGAGAAAAGTGTCTTCGTGTTGGCGTTTAGGTATTTTAGATTATGGTGAACTTTAGGGATGGGTACCGATTTCGGTACTTTTTAAGGTACCGACCGAATTCCATAGTACCGACCGAGCACCGATTCACGTCATTTCAAACGGTGCCTCGTTTCGGTACCCGTCCTTCATAACGAGAACTTGCCAAGACAGCTGCGCATGCGCAAGAGCGTTATGTCGTCGGTCCCGGCGAGCGAGTTGTAAACAGAGCAGCATGGTAGAAAGAACGCACGCTAACGCTTAGGTCCCCTTCAGTAAATGTGATGGGTAACTGGGTGATGATGAAACCAGCAACAGACAACGATCTAAGTGAGACATCCTCATCTTAATCTGCTCCGGTAGGTAAATAAAATGTTACCTTGATATGTTAGCTTCCGTTTCGCTAATGGTGCATTCGCTTTCTCCTCGGAACTCCGAATTTCCGACTAGAAGAACATGAACGCGCTCTAAAGTTTGGCTTCACTTTACTAAATGTGACGGGTGATTGGGTGAAGATGAAACCAGCGACAATGATCTAAGTGTGAGGCATCATCGTTTTAATCTGCTCCAGCAGTTAAATAAACTGTTAAAGATACCGTTAGCTTGATATGTTAGCTTCCATTGCCACCATTGTTATCAGCTAATGGTGCGTTCGCTTTCTCCTTGGAAATTCTATCTTCCCAGTAGGAAAAATCTAATGAAAAAAGACGGCAAAAGGAATGAAGATACACAGTAAATTTAGGTCACAGTAAAGATGTTTGCTTCAGTTTAATTATTAGCTTATAAAACTACAAGGACGATGTTAAAATACAAACTGTTGTATGTTATTTATCAAATATTGTTATATATTGAGAAAAATATATATTTAATTATAAAAGAGAATTAACATAATAAACACTCAAAAGTGTCGAAAATTAGTACCGGATCGATTCAAATGTCAAAGGTACCCATCCCTAGTGAACTTATTTACAACTTGTATAAATATATTACACACAGTTTAGTGAATCCATACATTAAAACTCTTTTTAAAACCCATTTTAACACACAAGTTAAGAGGAAAACTCATTTCTGCTTAATCCTTTGTGTGGATACAACTGATACTACTACATGCTAACAGAAAGAAACGCACGCTAGCCAAGACTTTATTTTATTTTATTATGGGTGCTTGAAAGTGAAGACTTCTGACTTCCCTACCTATTTGTGGACCACATGGGGGTTGTTTTTGAATGTTCAGAGATTAAAAACAGACACGTAGAGACGACAGTCTTATGCATTTAATATACCTGGTTACATATTTTAATGACGTCTAGTGTTTAGAATCTAATAATGTAAGAGATTAAACATGTAAAACTAAAAGTAGAACAATAATTACAAAATCCTGATAAATAAATGAAGTAACCTTTATTATTGGATGCTTTAGAATGCCCTTACAGCTCCATGGGTCAGACAAAATAACGCATTTGTTTCTGTTTCCAGATCCTGAAGCAGGAGTGGCCTAAGCACTGGCCCACTTTCATCAGTGACATCGTCGGGGCCAGCCGCACCAGTGAGAGTCTTTGTCAGAACAACATGATCATTCTGAAGCTGCTGAGTGAGGAGGTCTTTGACTTCTCCAGTGGCCAGATGACCCAAGTCAAAGCCAAACACCTGAAAGACAGGTGAGCATCGGCACAGAGCAGTGGAAAACAAACGTTTCAGGAAAATGTCCTCGTTGTTCTGTCTGAGACATTTTATTTTAGTTTGAGCCTGAAGGATCCTGATTACTTCAGATCATTTAATCAGAGAGGTTTCATCACCAACGTCAAAGCTCTAACGTTTTATTTATTTTTGTTTCTTCCAGCATGTGCAATGAATTCTCCCAGATATTCCAGCTCTGTCAGTTTGTTATGGTAGGTTATTGTCCGTTTTTCGTTTTCCATCATTGATGTGAGACTGATGCTCCTCTTAAGCGCTAGTGTGTTTGATACACTTGCTTGTTTTTAAAGGAAAATTCCCAGAATGCCCCGCTGGTGCATGCCACCTTGGAGACTCTTCTGCGTTTCCTCAACTGGATTCCACTCGGATATATTTTTGAGACCAAGCTGATCAGCACCCTGGTGTATAAGGTGTGTGCGTGTACGATCACACACACCGTTGGTCTGTTTCTGTGCTTTTTGACCCAAACTAAAACACGTTTGAACCCTCCTCAGTTCTTGAACGTGCCGATGTTCCGTAACGTGACTCTGAAGTGCCTGACTGAGATCGCTGGCGTGAGTGTGAGCCAGTATGAGGAGCAGTTTGTTACCCTCTTCACTCTGACCATGTGCCAGCTCAAACAGGTCAGCTGGAGCAGGTTTGATATTTCCCTCTTGGATCAGAGTTCTGACCCGGTCCGTTTTTCTTCAGATGCTGCCCCTGAACACCAACATCCGGCTGGCTTATGCAAATGGGAAGGACGACGAGCAGAACTTCATTCAGAACCTCAGTCTGTTCCTCTGTACGTTCCTTAAAGAACATGGACAGTTGATCGAGAAGAGGCTCAACCTCCGAGAGACGCTGATGGAGGTAAAAGCCGGAGATGAGCAGTGTTTCCTTCAGTCCAACAGATCAGTGTTGATATTTTCTCACTGTGTGATTGTTCCTCTCGGTGCCCATTCAGGCCCTCCACTACATGCTCCTGGTGTCGGAGGTGGAAGAGACTGAGATCTTTAAAATCTGTCTGGAGTATTGGAACTACCTGGCTGCTGAACTCTACAGAGAGAGTCCGTTCTCCTCATCCACGTCTCCTCTGCTCTCTAGTAACCAGCACTTCGATGTACCGCCGCGCAGACAACTCTACCTTCCTGTTCTCTCCAAGGTATTGTTCTGTCAGACCTAAGCTCTACTACTGCCACCTTTAGTCCTAATAATGTGTTTTCATTATTGTGATAGCAAGTGCTAGTGAAGGAGAGGCTTTATTCTGACTGAACCTTTTGGATTATTATAGGTGCGTCTGCTCATGGTGAGTCGAATGGCCAAGCCGGAGGAGGTCCTGGTGGTGGAGAATGACCAGGGGGAGGTTGTCAGAGAGTTTATGAAGGACACGGATTCCATCAACCTCTACAAGAACATGAGAGAAACCCTCGGTACGGCTGCATGAATGAGCTTGTGTTTATGTCTGCTACGCTTGCCCAGGAGGCCAAATCGGTCATTCAGTGTTTTACACAAACCTGTTTTATGCATGCACTGGGAGGGGGACATATCCTATCATTCATAATACCAGTATATTCTTGTTGCCCGGGCAAAAAACATGTCATGTTATGCTAATTGTGTGGCCTAAATGCATCCACTACACACGTGGGTCAGGCAATGTGGTGTTATTAAAGATGTGAAGGTAGAATCTGGCAGCATTCACTCACATCGGCGAGTAGTAAAGTTGCAGGGTAGATTTTAAGGTATTTTGGCCACTGCAGGCCCCTGTACCCACTATCTAGTTGTTAGGGATGTTAATCTTACCAGTCAAGATTCAATTTCATTCCGATTTTCGGGGTGACGATTCAATTCAACTCTTTCTTACGAAGAGAATTGATTTTTCAATCAATTCTCTTCGTAACAAAGTGTCCACTAGAGTGTGAGTGTGTGTGGTTTGAAGAAGCGGGTAAAAAAGAATACGATGTGTAAACATTTTAATTTAATAAACAGGTTTTATAACATGCAGTAGCATATATTCACATAAACCAGTAAACTTCTCTGCTGTGTGGTGGAGTAGCTAATGCTAATGGTTAGCGTCTACTAGCTGAGACGTTCTCTGCTGTTTCCTGGATGCTAAACCAACAACAGCCTTCCCCGTTGTGAGTCCAGATGGGTGAGTCCATGAATGTTAGTGACGGTGTGACGTAGATCTGTCAGGATTTTCTAATCCTGGAGTTTCACCGTCTGTTTTCTATCAGAAGCTACTGTTTGAGACATGTGTAGGAAATAGGGTTGTCACTATACTAAAATTTCAAACTCGATTCGATACTTGAAAAAATACTCGATACTCGATTCCGATACTTTTTAAAAACACCCATTTATCGAACAAGTTTATTCAAAAAATAACATTCCTCAATTTATATTGCAAAAATTAAATGTTAAGAATTAAGTGTGTAAAGTGCTTAAACCTTTCAAGTATCAGCATTTTTTAAAACGTGCATACAAAAACTGGTGAAAGTTAACACTTAAAATCATGAATTGTCTCACTATATATACACTATTTGCAGAGTGATGTTTTGCTACTTAAACTCTGTTTAAGGTGCATTTTTGTTATAAGATGTAATGCCATATGTTTTGTTCTGTACTTTTGAACAACTCTGTTGGTCAATAAAGGGAGAAAACAAATTTCTCCACAGTAGGACTGTCAGCTCCGCAAGGGACAGACACGCACGGATTGACGGAAGCGTTTTGCTCTTCTACTTCTCCGTCTCCTGGAGAGTGTTGCAAAGCAATTGCCCTGCAGGACAACAGAGGGCGTAGCGCTGTTCTGTGGTATCCTGTCATGCATCGGTCCAAGATCGTGTGTTTATATTGTTTTTTGTGTATATAGGAGACTTTTAACAGGGACATATTTGTCTCTCATTCTCCCACCCCTTCATGCGCTTCCCACCTCTAAACCCACGTTTCCTGTCATTTCCGTCCACAAATAAAATGCTTGCTGCGCATCATTTCACTCGTCCAGTCACGGGGGAATTAAACGTTCATATTTTTAGAGTTTTTTCGCGAGGTATTCTTCAAGCTTCTCCGTGTCTGCCGCTAGTTATCCTCGGCTCTCTTTGCAATGGCGGCGCTGTAAACAACAGCGGCATCCTGACCAATCACAAGCTTGCGTAATCCGTCTCGTTCGACGGATGTTTAAAAAAATGGGCTCGACTCCGTACGTACTTGCGTGCCCTACGCAGGGACGGATAATGGCGTTGCGTGTTTCCGCACTGACGCAGACGGAGAAGCATAAATCAGGCTTAAGGTACATCTACCGGTAATCTTAATAAAAACAGACTGGCGCACGGCAGTGACGTCATTAAAAGCGCAGGTTAGATTAGCCGCAGCTAGTCTGTTTACGCCTAGAAATCCCAGACCAGACCCGCTCCAAACGAACAGGGGAATCACGTTAATGATTCCTAACAAAACCTTTCGACATGAAGATGTTTTGGTGCAGATAATGTCTTATTTCGAGGCTGCACCATGGGTGCCCGTCCGCACCCGTTATATGGATATACGCTGATGGCGATTCGGCGATGGACCTACGGTAAATACCCCCGGGGAATCCAAGTAGCACCAAAGTTGTCAGCGTGAGTAAACAAACGTACTGCATGCTAGAAATTAAGTCCGGGTTGCAATAAACGGGAGTTTCCTTTAAGCACATAAGCGTGAATATACAACTACGTGTCGGACTTGGTATGCTAATCAAGTTGGGCTGTGAAGCGTCTCCCAAATTCGCTGTTTATGTTTTTGTTTATTTATTTGGCAGACAAAACTTGGATCGGAGACAACTCGCGTGGGAAACTGCTATGCTATGCTATGCGGCGTCTTCTTCTGTTTGTCTGGGAGGCGGAGGATGCTTTACTGCATCTGGCTGTCGTGCGTGTCGGTGTACTTGAAGAAGGCTGTGTATAATAGTCCATAATATCGATACCACAGGGATGGAATATCTCATTTAGATACCACTTTTAGTATCGATTTATATCTGGGTATCGATTTTTTTGACAACACTAGTAGGAAACTATTTCATGTTCAGCCTGCATGAAGCACTTAGAGTGACCTATTAGAATCAGACATAATCATTAAAAAGCTTGGCGTTCCACACCTTTAATCTTGACTGCTGTAACCCCTTGGAAGTGATCCTGGGATCACATGAATGCTTCTGTTTGTTCTGTAGTGTACCTGACTCACCTGGACTATGCTGACACGGAGCGCATCATGACAGAGAAGCTTCACAACCAGGTGAACGGTACCGAGTGGTCGTGGAAGAACCTCAACACATTGTGCTGGGCTATCGGCTCCATCAGTGGGGCAATGCATGAGGAGGACGAGAAGAGGTTTCTGGTCACCGTCATTAAGGTGATCACTCTATAAACCACTAGTTTATTTCAGTTTTGGCTCCAAACACAAAATTATCATCAGCTATGAGCTACAAGCATGAAAATAACTGTAGAAAAAATTTATGTAACAATTATGAAATAGTTTGAGTTAATTTATGAAAAGTTTTTTTTTAATAAACAATATTTAAATCCCTGCTATAAGACATTTGTGTAAAAAAACACATGTTTGATTCAACAATTTACGGCACATTTGCTTTAATCTGATGCGACTTTAATGTAACCCAACGTTTAGGGCTGCAACTAACGATTATTTTCATAATCGATTAATCTGTCGATTATTTTTTCGATTAATCGGTTTATTATTGTTTAGCTGTTTAACCTATACAGGTGATGAATACATTTCAGTTAAGAAAAAGAAAAACATAAGAGAATTGTGCAGTTGACTGCAATCTAATTCATTGGACATGAACACAGTCAGCGGTGTAAAATGAGCTAAACAGTGCAAAATATCAGTCCAGAATAATTTTTTGGCATCAAAATATAGGAGGTAAATTCCATAAAAAATAATGTAGAATCTAGAATAGAGTTTGTAAGTGGTATGCATTGCTGGGGGGTGAGTGTCTTGTTCCCCATGTAGTTGTCCATCGTTGCTGTTTTTTTCTGCATAAGAAACACAAATTGACTGACATAAGTACACATATAAAATAAAGCAGCACACACACTACAACACTAAATCAATATTATATTATTTGAATTAATTAACAATATACAGTGATCATTTATTTTGACAGAAATGTGTTGTGAGGCGTTTTACAGAGTTAGATAGTAAAACAGCCTTTTAATAGTAAAAAAAAATGACTTTCTGAATTTCTCCTGTATTTAAAAATTGAAAGCGTACAACTATGCCGCGTTATATTCACCTGGACACAGCTCGTCTGTATATTTTTCTCCGCGGAGTTGTCCTTTTTTGAATGAGGAACATAGTTATGGGTTTGTGCCGTTTTTCTCTTTAACAAGAACATTCTTATAAACAGACGTGCTAAATTTGGCAAGCGCACGATACACAACACGGAGATTCACGATTGCATTTAGTCAATCAGAAGTAGAACACCGTAGACTGACGCGGCAAAAAAACATGTTTAACATCCACTATAACAAACTCGGCTAACACTAAGTCCCAAATTTGATCTGCGTGTAGTGATGGACCACTATATTTAGCTTGTTTATTTTCTGTTACTTACCGGGCTGCTCTTCCTCTGCTGCATCAGCCCCCACATGTTTTCTTCTCAAATGTTCACTTAGGGACGTCGTGCTTCCGTGCCATGCTAGATGGTTTTTGCATATTTTGCAGGTCACCCGTCTTTTCATGGCATCTAGAGTGAAGTGCTCCCATACTCGTGAGGTTGTTGTCCGGGGTTTCTCTTCAGTTTTGTCGCTTCCATTTTGCTCCTGTATTTCTTGTTCCGCCATCTCTCACAGCAAGATGAGCGTCAGTAACGTGTTACGTCATGAAAACCGAGGGCACTTATTGGCTCGTTTCTTCTTCTACGGCTCCACTGGTAAATCAGTGGCTCATTACTGCCACACACTGGCGCCAAATTTAACAGATTGTAACCGATGTCAGATTATGTTAAAAATAGACTTTATGCGGTAAAATGTGATTATTAAACAACTAATCGATGACTAAAAAAGTTAACTATTTTAATAATCGATTATAATCGATTAAATCGATTAGTTGTTTCAGCTCTACCAACGTTTTTGGTCAGTGGAGAAAAGCCACACATACATGAGAATGGCTAACTCCATGCAGAAAGACTCAAGGTGAGATTCAAACTTGCAATCTTCTTGCTGCAAGGCAACAGTGCTCCCATTTGCACCATCGTGCTGCACTAGGGCTGTGCGATCTAGAAAAAAGCTGTTAAAAAAATAGCATATTGATCGATATCAATTATTGAAAACTATAAAAAATGTAGAAAATATGTTTTAAGTGCAGCCCTGGCCAGATGGCCATCACGTCATGATAAACAAGTTGGCTGCGTTGCCAGACTTGTTTTTTATTGGCTCTCTGTAGCAAGCCACCGTTTGTTTTTGTCAGACTTGTAAGAATGAAAATATTGCCACACTGGTGAAGTACCGTCCTCTCCTTGCTGCAACATCGTGTTTACGTCACACTGCTGTGTAGGTTTGAGAGGGGAGGGCTTGTTGACGGAGCGTGCTTGGGTCTGTGGTTTTGATTGGCTGGGTGACAGTAATAACTCTAGTATGAAGCTTCCCAATAGGCCATAATGGAAAAAGGAAACTTTTATTGAAGTTTTTATTGATCCATTTTTTTTCTATTGAATCACTTGTCTATTGATCGATATCGTTATTGAATTATTGTCCAGTCCTATGCTGCACTAATTAATCATTTATCATTCGTGTTAAATAATCTTTGTTCTGTGATGGAGCAGGTCCAGAGCCGAGTGTCTCAGACTAAACTTTTCTCCTGTCGGTCAGAATTTTGTGATGGATAAATGTGATGTTGACGGTAGGGAGCTCCTCTCTGCAGCTGAATAATCTTCTGTTTTGTTTGATATGAAGGATCTTCTGGGTCTGTGTGAGCAGAAACGAGGGAAGGACAACAAAGCCATCATTGCATCAAACATCATGTACATCGTTGGCCAGTACCCGCGCTTCCTCAGAGCCCACTGGAAGTTCCTCAAAACAGTTGTCAACAAACTCTTTGAATTCATGCACGGTAAACATTTGTGCTTGCTCGGTCAGCTGGGGAAAAACTAGCAGCTTGATTATAAAGTTGTGTTTCTGCCTCAGAGACCCACGATGGTGTCCAGGACATGGCGTGTGACACGTTTATCAAGATCGCTCAGAAGTGCAGACGCCACTTCATCCAGGTGCAGGTGGGAGAGGTGATGCCCTTTATCGATGAGATCCTGAACAACATCAACACCATCATCTGTGACCTCCAGCCCCAACAGGTCGGCATGCAGCCGATGATGCGCCTTCACATGACATCACAACAGACCCAGGGTCGGCTTGTCACGCTTTTTTTATTCTGTTTTTGCACAGGTGCACACGTTCTATGAAGCAGTGGGTTATATGATCGGAGCGCAGACGGACCAGGCTGTTCAGGAACACCTCATAGAAAAATACATGCTGCTGCCTAATCAGGTGTGGGACAGCATCATTCAGCAGGCCACCAAGGTGAGAGTGCCGAACGCAGCCAGCGTGACTTTTTTTCAGACACAAACACTGTGGTAACGGGATGTAATAATATCTCGTACAGCGAGATCTCGCGATATTACAAATCCTCAATATTTCTCGTTGAGGCAATTTCTATCTCGCGAGTGCTAGTCGGTTGCGGTTAGCATGGCTTCAGCAGGCGAAGTTAGCATTGAAGATGCTCCGAATACATTTAAATCATTTGTTTGACAGTATTTTGGATTTCCAAGGACTACCGATGGAGTGACTGGCAAGACACAAACAATATGTAGGCACTGCAAGAACATATTACCTTACACCGCGGCTAACACTAGCAATATGCAACGACACCTTCAGAACCATCACTTCGCTGCAGCTGCACCCGTGAAGACATTACCGAAGGGACAGACAATGCTAAAAAATGCTTTTGTTCCTCAGCTCCCACCTTCATGTGCTAAAGCTGCAGCAATAACAAGAGACATTGGCATTTTTATTGCAACTGATATGAGGCTATTTTCTGTCGTGGAAAGTCCGGGATTTAAGAAACTTAACATTGGAACCAAAGTACAACATTCCATCACGTGTGCATTTTTCACGCACAGTAATTCCTAATCTCTACGAGGAGTGCAAGTCCAAAGTAGTTCAGATCCTGAAGGAGGTAAAGACTGTTAAGCTACATCACAGTCATGGCACACACCGACAGCAACTGGGAAATGATAAATGCAGTACTGCAGACTCGACCAATCTTTGAATCCCACACAGGGGTAAACATTGCTGAAGTTTTACTTGAAGTAGTCTCTGACTGGGAGCTTAAAGGACCAAACCATGGCGTTGCTATCGTGACTGATAATGCACGTAATATGGAAGTAGCTGCACGTGAAGCAGGGTTGGTGCTGCATTTAAAGTGTTTTGCTTACACTATAAACTTAGCTACTCAAGCTGGCTCCAGAGCATAGAAGAATAGAAGCAAAGAAATTTAAAAATAAAGAAAAAAGATAAAGATAATATTTTACTTAAGTGTTATTTATGTTCAGTTTTTGGAAAGTTTGGTTTGATTCTCATTGTTCGAGAAGCTAGAAACCTATGCACATCTGAAAAATTGATCAGTGGAAAAGTTTCTAAGTTCACAATAAAGAATTATTTCCTGCATAAGTTTGAAAAATTTCTTTTAAACTGTTGTTAAAATCTTGTATCGTCTCAAGCCGTCTCGTGAGAATTATGTATCGTTACACCCCTAGTGGTAACCGCTAATCTGCTCTGCCTCAGAACGTGGACATTCTAAAGGACCCAGAAACGGTCAAACAGCTTGGCAGCATCCTGAAGACCAACGTCAGAGCCTGCAAGGCCGTGGGACACCCTTTTGTCATCCAGCTGGGACGGATCTACCTGGACATGCTCAATGTCTACAAGTGCCTCAGCGAAAACATCTCTGCTGCCATTCAGACAAATGGTAAGTTCTGTAAGTCTCTGTTTCATACTTCCTCTTTTCAAAATAAGTCTGATTCACATCATGCTCTGGAGGTCAGAGGCGTAAAATCATCTTTATCACACAAACCTGGACCAGGGTTGCAACAATTATAAATGTTGGTGGTACAATTACAGTCTGAAAAATAATCATGGTTTCACAATTACCGCGATTATTTTACATGAATTGATTTCACATTTGTATTAACATTTATAAATCACACAAAGACTCTATAAAGTAATAGTAAAGTGCACGATTACAGTCTATAAAGGTTTTAAACCCCTGAATATCTATTGCTCATTTTCAAAGGTTTTGCTTAGAAAAAAAGTCATTTGTGAAATTAAAGTAATATTTAAATTACAGTTTAAAACTTTTGAAATACCTTGATCACTTGTTTAATCAATAAACTTGCAGTGGTCTTTAGTAGGAATGAATACCATGTAAGTTGAACTTTGGGGGGGGGGGGATACCAGTGCACCATTTTCAGGACTTAAGCCTGATTCATGCTTCTCCGTCTGCGTAGGGCCCCGGCAGGCTCGCAAGTACGGACGGAGTCGAGCTCTCTTTTCTAAACATCCGTCAGTCGAGACGGACAACGCAAGCTTGTGATTGGTCAGGACGCCGCTGTTGTTTGCAGCGCCGCCATTGCGCCCTCAAAAACATAAAGAGAGCCGAGGATAACTAGCTGCAGACACGGAGAAGCTTGAAGAATACCTCACGAAAAAAACTCTAAAAATATGAACTTTTAATTCCCCGTGACTGGGGGCGTGAAAAGATGCGCAGCAAGCGTTTTATTTGTGGACGGAAATGACAGGAAACGTGGGTTTAGAGGTGGAGAGCGCATGAAGAGGTGGAGGAGAATGAGAGACTAATATGTCCGTGTTAAAAATTCTCTTATATACACAATAAACGCAATATAAACACACTATCTTGGACAGATACATGACAGGATACCACAGAACAGCGCTACGCCCTCTGTTGTCCTGCCCGGCAATTGCTTTGCAACACTCTCCAGGAGACGGAGAAGTATGAGAGCAAAACGCTTCCGTCAATCCATGCATGTCTGTCCCTTGCGGAGCTGACGGAGAAGCATGAACCAGGCTTTAGAAGTGAGCCACATCACAGCTGAGCTTCAGACAGCAGGTTTTGGAGTCTTATTTCCTGATATGTGGACATCTCTCCTCTGATTGGCTAACAGCAACACGACTACCACTGACTGTCTGCTCTGCAACGTTGATGTTTTATCTCAAGCTTGGAGGAGTTGTTCTGTGTGGTGGAGTTGCTAATGCTAACAGTTAGCTTCTACTAGCTGAGACGTTCTCTGCTGTTTCCTGGAAGCTAAACCAACAACAGCCTTCCCCGTCAAGAGTCCAGATGGGTGAATCCATGAATGCTAAGTGACGGTGTGACATAGATCTGTCAGGCTTTTCTGGTCCTAGAGTTTCACCGTCTGTTTTCTATCAGAAGCTAATGCAGGATATAGCTGTAGGAGACTATTTTCATGTTCAGTCTGCATGAAAAACTCAGGGTTACCCATTAGAATCAGAAATTACTACTAGTGCAGTTATAAAAATCCTTAAATGTAATTTTTACGTGTTCATATGTATATTTTTTTATTTCATCAGTAAGAATATTTTGACATGAATAATATTGTTATGTAGAACAGTAATTACAGAGAGGTGTAGTTGATTAACTCATTCACTGCCAGCCGCTTCCTGATCGGTAAAGCCCTTCGCTGCCAGAGTTTTTACGGTTTCTTTTCAGAGTCACAGCGCTCTATGATGATGTCAACACCAAAACAAAGAGTAGACTCACCTCTTACATCAGGAAGACTCCACGTGTTTCGAGCGTTATCCGTTCTTCCATAATCCGTTGTTGAATTGTGATCGGCGGAAGCTTTTCCGGTTCGCGCCTCACTTTTTTTTACAGCAGCGGCCCAAAACGATTTCCTAACACATGGATGTTCTGCTACCTCATCACGTGACGTGTGATGTATGCGGATGAAGATCGGTTTTAGAGCTGAGATGTTTGTTCTCACGGTGTTGGGGCTCGTTCCGATGCCCACATAGTAAAAAATGCAAATGACGACTTTTGTCAGGACCCATTTGCATAAGTTGTCATTCAACTAGGGCAAAGTTGAGACTTGGAACTGCAGCATTTCACACCGTGGTTAATGGTCAAACCGGTTAATCCAGGGTGTCCGCGGGGTTTTAAAAAGTATTAAAAAGTGATAAATAAAAATAGTCAAATTTAAGGCCATTAAAAGTGTTAAATTTGGTCTCAGAGGTATTATTTTTTCCAAATTAGGTATTATTTTTTTCAGACTATCAGATGTCGTATTCTGAACATCGACATAGAAATATATTCCGAATGAAATGTTTTGAACGATTATAAAAATAAAACAAGCCGATTATTTGCTCCTCCCACTTGCGCTGCCCTGAGTTGCAAATGAAGCTCTCCTCCACAGTGTTGCCAACTTAGCAACTTTGATGCTATTTCTTGCAGCTTCAGAAACCTCAGAAACATCTCTGGTAACCCTTAGCTACTTTCTGGATAACTGTCGTCGACGTTTCCTGCAGGTTAGCTAAACACTCTGCCTGCGCTGCGGACCGTTCTTCAGGACTTTAGGAAAGGGAATGATGTAGTGATGTGTCGGTCGCTAAAGAAACAGCTCTCAGAGCCGGTGTTGTGCCATAAATCGACTCACTGCCAAAAAATGATTAGCTTAGTTTTTCCAGTTCGGAAGTTGTTTTAAGTGTTGCTTAAACACTTAAACTTAAATTTGTCTTAAACGTTCACAATGAGGATATATTAATCCTTTTTGCAATATTTGCGATTGAAAGATGGTTTGTGGTAAGAACTGGCTTTCTTTATGTTACAGCCTTGATACAAAAAAATAAATAAACAATGTAAAATGGCGCCCTGTATTGAATGTAAACGTTGTATAAATGTAAATAAACAATTCTCCAGCGATTTGATTTTTTTCCCCTTCCTTTCTTTAGTTGCTAATCATTTTTTGGCAGCGAGTCGATTTATGGCACAATACCGGCTCCCTGTTGGATTAACCAGAGTGAGTGACACACGCCGTACCTGCAGACTCCTGAGCCACTAAAAACAGCTAAGTGTGTGCATGCAGCGCGCTAAACACGTGCAGCTTGCCCCGATTGCTGTGAGACCGGGTTGGGGGGTGGGGGTGCAGCTGTGGTTGGGACAATTATTACATTAACTGACGGACTTGTAAATAAATAGTTTGTAAATAAGGTAGAAATAAGTTCCTCACGCTGATAACTAATAACTAATCTCTCTGAGGACACGGTGCTAGTGCACGCTCCTACAGCACCTTGACACGACTAAATAAATGTTATGCAACATTTTGTGAACCTCAATTTGCATGTATTTGTTATAAATGCCACTGTATAATTCTTGTTGTCAGTATTTGCAAGATATTGGTATTTGGGTCTGTACTGTTTAGACTTAAATGAGTTAAACCAAGGTCTATAGCCCTTGGGTCATAAACTATGAGCTATAAGTATATTGGGCTTTTTATACTGGGAATCAGGAGTTATTTTAGTGATCATCTTGTTTCTTGTTTATTTTTGCCCTGATTGTGCCCTGAGCAGTTTTATGACTGAATAAAAATAAAAAAATAAAAATCTACATAAATTGAAAAATAATCGAGATCTCAATTTCAGTCACAATAATCATGATTATTGTTTTTGCCATAATCGAGCAGCCCTACTTTAGCATATCCGGTCACATAATGATGACGTCATATTCAGTGGTCGTTCTGCATCATTTCAGGCCTCGTGGTCAACTGTCTGAACCGCTGACAAGAAGTGCCTGGCTTATTTTCTAATTAAAATAAATATGTGCAATATGTTGTCAACATCAGTGAGTCTCTAAGTCTATTCTTTTTGTATGTTATATATGTTAAAATATGTGTAAATAGGTCGCTGATTAACACTTGCAATTTAGTGTTGTGATGGTTTTAAAAAAATTCTGAAGGTAGTAAAAAAAAGTATTAAAAAGTAGTAAATTTTACCTAAGGATTGCTGTATATACCCTGTAATCCCTGAACCCCTACTCTGGATTAGAGCAGAACCTGAGGAACATGTAGAAAAAAAACCTTTTCTGTGCTTCTGTTGTTGCAGGTGAGATGGTGACGAAACAACCGCTGATTCGGAGCATGAGGACAGTGAAGCGAGAGACTCTAAAATTGATCTCAGGGTGGGTCAGCAGATCCAACGACCCACAGATGGTGAGACCTGGTTCCCCCTTTGGCTGTAATTTAATCAATCATACGATTTTACACAGAAGGTTTGAAATAAATGATGAAAACTTGTTCATTCTTCTGTTTTCCAGGTCGGAGAGAACTTTGTTCCTCCTCTACTGGACGCTGTCCTCATAGACTACCAGCGTAACGTCCCCGCAGCACGTGAGCCTGAGGTACTCAGCACCATGGCAACCATCGTCAACAAGCTGGGAGGTCACATCACCAGCGAGATCCCCCAGATCTTTGATGCTGTGTTTGAGTGCACCCTAAACATGATCAACAAGGTGAGTCAGATTAGCTTTTCAAGGTTTTTTAATCGTCTCACCGAGCTGCAAAACCATTTTTATCAGGAAGTTTCACATCCGACTGGGTCACATGTCCCGTTTTGATATGGTTATCGGAAGTAATTCGATATCAGCCCAAAAACACTATCAGATTATATCGGATTGCATCAGAAATCTCTGATATAAGCAGTCCATTAAGGTTCTCATTTTTGCAACCAATGGTTAAAAAAAGTCTTCTTTTTTTTCACACTTACTGTTATTGGCGCTTGTTCTCTTAGAAGAGTAATATCACTTCAAGCAATTCCACTCTACTAAACAGGTAAAAGTATGTATGATTTGTGCTGAAATCATATCGAATTGATATCGGTATCGGCCAATACTGAAGGCTGCAATATCGGTATCGTACTGGAAGTGAAAAGGTTGTATCGGGACATCCCTAGTCACGTGCTCAGATGAGTCCGAGTGTTTATGATGTCATGTTTTCTTTATGATGTCATGTTTTCATGATTAACCCGTAGATGAAATGTTTTGTAGCATGTTTAAAGTCTGGTAACTTTTTTTTTAATCTAGTTTTTCTTTCCCATTTCAGTTTAACCTGAATAACATTTACATCAACCTCAAACTAATTGTTTTAAATAACATAATTTTAAATCTCTTAAAACAAGTCAAGCTGGCAAAATAACCTTTTTTCCCCCCGGCTAGAACTTTGAGGAATTTCCAGAGCACAGGACCCATTTCTTTTACCTTTTGCAAGCTGTGAACTCCCACTGCTTCCCGGCGTTCCTCGCCATCCCCCCAGCCCAGTTTAAACTGGTGCTGGACTCCATCATCTGGGCCTTCAAACACACCATGAGGAACGTCGCTGACACTGGTACAGTGGCGCAAACACGTTGGTCTTCAGAGGAGGGATCATGGGGAATACGTGGGGCGCTAAAGTCGGACTGTTTGTGTTCTTCCAGGTCTGCAGATCCTCTACACGATGCTGCAGAACGTTGCTCAGGAGGAAACGGCAGCTCAGAGCTTCTACCAGACATATTTCTGTGACATCCTGCAGCACATCTTCTCCGTGGTCACAGACACATCACACACGGCCGGTGAGCCCAGAGAAATTAGTCCCTCTCCGATGTGTTCCTAGACAAATTAAAGAGACGTTCCTGTCTGCCCTGCAGGCCTCACGATGCATGCGTCCATCTTGGCCTACATGTTCAACCTGGTGGAGGAAGGGAAGATCACGGTGTCCCTGAATCCTGCAACGTCCACCACCAACCAGGTGTTCATCCAGGAGTACGTGGCCAACCTGCTGAAGACTGCTTTCCCCCACCTACAGGAGTGAGTAGAAACACTAGAGTGTGTGTGTACTCATGTTTGTTCTTTATATAAGTGTGTGTTCCTGTGTGTGTTAGTGCTCAGGTGAAGGTGTTTGTAACGGGCCTGTTCAGTTTAAACCAGGACATTCCTGCCTTCAAGGAGCACCTGAGGGACTTCCTTGTGCAAATAAAGGCAAGTCTTTAAAACCACCATCTACACACACACACACACACACACACACACACACACACACACACACACACACACACACCTGTTGCTACTGCATTCCAACTCCTCCTCTCCCCTTTAGGAGTTTGCAGGTGAGGACACCTCTGACCTGTTCCTGGAGGAGAGAGAGGCGGCGCTCCGTCAGGCTCAGGAAGAGAAACACAAAATCCAGATGTCCGTGCCGGGAATCCTCAACCCGCATGAGATCCCAGAGGAGATGTGTGACTGAGCTGCAGGATCTAGAACCTTCATCCCAACAGAACCCAGGAGAGGCACTTGCTAGGGTGGGAAGGTGCTCGCCCCCTGCAGAGCGGGGGTGTCCCGTCTTCACTCTGTAAATGATGACTGTCACTCTGTGGCCCTTTTTACATAATCTACGTTTTGTATGGAGACTTTTTGTGCATTAATTTTCCACAGCTGTTAATCTACAGTATCGTCTGTCTGTCTCTGTCCGTCACAGACCTGCATGATAAAGTTGTGACAGTTTGAACAAGTCCACCATCTTGTTTTAGTTCAGTTTCCTTCAGACTTCCTGCTTTTCTTCATGGTGTTTATATATAAATGAATTCCACAGTCCTCTAGAGCGCCACGTGCCGCTTGCTTGCCCCGCTGCATTGTGGGAGAATGTGAATCTAACGGGAAATGAATGAAGACTGAAAGATGCTGCTTCTGGTTTCAGCATCTGTTGCCCATAAGCTCAGCGTCACCTCAGACTGCAGTCAGCGGTTTTCTGTAGAGGAGCAAAACTGAATATGTGCATATCATCCCAACTGTATAGCATCTTGATACCATGGGAACTTTTAAAAAAAAAATGATTCTATTGTTTCTTTTTGTTGTGGGTTGTTTGTGCTGTCGCTTAGTCGAATGAGCGTTTTGTTTTCCTCTAAGAGGATTGTTGCTCATTTGTGAGCCTCCATTACTGAGACGTTTTACTGAAGGGGCAGAAGTATTTATGGGTTCTCGGTTGGTTGCATCTTTTATGTTTATTTCGAAGGCCTTCAGGATTTTCAACTGTACTAATTTAGGTAGTTTAACCATCAAGTAGTGCTTAAAGACAGACACTACCTTATTAGAGCAAACAGAAAAATAATTATGGGTTTACATTTGATTTTGTATTTTTGCAAATTTTTTTTGTACCCGTTTGTCCAGAGACCGAGTAAATTGCCAACGAGTTTTAATTAAGCAAGAATGTATAAATCTAAATAGGTACCCAATCTGATGCCTAATTTTCCTTCTCAAGGTGTTACTTTGTTGTGAACTTTTTGAATTGAATAAAGTTGAGGTTTTTTAACCAAGTCTGAACTCTGCGTTCATAATTTCACTTTTTACCGGCACAGGGTGTCGCGGCTCTCGCCATCGGGAGTATTTCAGATGCACAGCGACTATGAAAGAATTCCGCGAGATGCGATTTCACTAAATAAAAACTGCACCATTTCCAGGGACTAGAAGTGAGCTACACGACTACCACTGACTGCTCTGCAATGTTGTTTTCTCTCCACAAATGATAAAAGCCTGGAGGCGTTCTGTGAGGTGGAGTTGCTAATGCTAACGGGTAGCATGAAGATTTCAATCAGAAATAATCACTTTTACAAATGTTTTTTTTAAGAGATGAGCAAGTACACCACTATCTGTATCTGTTCAACCAACTAAATTATCAATCTGTACTCGGAATGGGCGTGGCTTAACCGGAAGTGGGTGTGGTTTAAATCAATATATTATTTTAAGTCTGAAATTGATATGGATTGACCAGAAGTTTATGTGTGTGGTTTATTTGAAAACTATTTACAGAGCAGCCTCAGAATAGATTAAATATTTTTGATCACAATAGTAAAGGAACTATTGCAGAACAAGTGTTTCATTAAATCATTACATTAATGTTTAAGTGCATGGATTAATGCATCTGAACTCATGCAGTAGGAACTAGGAAATATGAAATGCTAGAACCAGACAACTTTATATTTTTTAATTTTAATTTGATTAAACAGATTTTTTTCTTAACGTTCTTGGCATTTTCCCACACAAAGTTAAACAAAACAATGTTGATTGAGGTGTGTGTGTGTGTGTGTGAGAGAGATAGAGAGGGAGTTAAAAAAAAATAAAAAACCCGACCGGAGCAGAGGTAGTGACTGATGCAGCACGTCAGCTCTGTCTTGTCAAATGCACCAAGTAAGTTACGAAAAAAGTAACTTTAAATATTCAACCGAAAAAGAGGCGAGCTGAAGAAAACCTAGGGACTACTGAAGAAACATGAGCAACAGTGAAGCAATCACAGCGAGATCCGTTACTGTCTGTGTGTGTGCGTGGATGAGCCGGACCGCTGCTCCCGGCCGGCTGCAGTTTTGTGTGTAGGGAGGGGCGGGTGCTCTATGTGACTGGCCAATCACAGAGCGTGAAGACAGTCAGTTACCCAATGAGGATTTTCCTTCAGCACGATTAAAGATATTAACGAGTTTAACTCGTTTCATGCTCGTATTCGTCAAAAATGCAGTATCCATACCGGATACTCGTCTGAAACGATTATACGGCTCATCCCTAGTTTTTTTGGTGTTCCACACATTTAAGCTTCACTGACGTAACTCAATGCTTCCAGATCCAGTGGAAAGCCGAGAGGAGCCTAGCAAATAAACTCCCATTTACATTTTACCTCAAGTCTCTCCTCAATTAGTTACTGACAGCTGCATTAACATTTCTTTCCATTGTGGTTCTTTATACATTTTCTCCTAAACTATCTCAAAGCTGACCGACTCCGGCAGTAGCCTCCAGATCGTGGTTGACGCTCTTAACTTTAGTTGGGCTGTAACTGGACCTCCTTCATGACCTACATCTCCAGATTTAGCTTCGTCTACTGTAAAGGAGTAGAGGAAAAGCCTGACACACTGAACCATCCGAGTCCTGTGTAAGCTGTGAGGAATCCTAAAAGGAAGAGGCTGATTAACACCCGAGTTTCCTCATAGCCTCATTCTTCAGACGAGAACATCCAAACCGAGGACGAGAAGCTCTACACACGGTACTGGTACCATCACCTGCTGCAGCTTTATAGCTGGGGTTGGCAAGTTGTCATTCAACTAGGGCAAAGTTGAGACTTGGAACCCAATAACCCCTTCAAAGTTTTCCGCTGCCTCCTAGTGGGCAAAGAAGAGAAGCAACACTTGGCTTTTTGGTTTTAACGACCGTTTCTGTTTTATTAGTGATGGTCTCACCCACAGAGGACAGACGGGAGTGATCGTATCCGGTCCAGAACCGCCTTTGGTTCTGAGATAAACAAGCTGAACTCATAATCATTCAGGACCTTTTCCAGACTAACGCCGACACAAAGATGGAGGACAGGAAGAGAATCAGATGTCTAAGAGTCAAAGAACATTTTTCTCCTTATTCCTATTTTTTTAAATCAAAATTTAACTTTCTATTCCTGACTTTCAGTTTCTTTTCCAACCAGAACTAAAGTTTTTACTTTTATTTGGAATAAACGGTGGGCAAAAGTAAGAGAAAGCTGAATTTTAACTTTAGCTTGTTAAAAAAAACTTTGACATGATTTAATTTGATTTTTCTCTAAATACATTATTTTTCCTGAAAACTCCAGTTTCATATCGTTACTCGTCTTTGCACGAGCAAAATAAGTTTCTAAAAACAGCTGTGAATGAATCCGACCTGATTTCTGAATCAGGGTAAGGGTGTTGTTTTTAACTTATAGCTATGATCCCAAAGATGAGTGAAAGTATGAAGCCCACTTCAGGACTGCCTGTTGAAACATTTTACTTAAATTAAACCAAAGGTTTTGTGAGCTGGTTCACGTTAAAATCAGCCAGTTTTATTTGCTCGCCTGACACTTTCTCATATTGTTATCTGTATTAGTCGGGTTCTGTGTGAAGACGCAGCTCACAAACATGCATCAAGCTGAGCGAGGAGTCCACCGGTAGGCGTGAAACCCTGAAGCCTCCGTGAAAACACGACGACTTCTTCATCGCTTCCTTTGATCACCAGGCTTCCCGTTGTCCTCCTGAACGGTTCGGCAGCTCTGCAAGATCCTTATGTTGTTCTGATCTGAGCGTAGCGGGTTTTAGATCTGCAGAACCAGAGAGACGCTCAGATATTCAGTTTACACATGTAGGTATGTGTGTGTGTGTGTGAGAGAGAGAGAGTGAGTGAAGTACCTGGGTGCTTTCTCTGTACTCTGTCGGACTTGAGAGACGTTCTTAAACTGTGATTCTATTCTGGCATAAATTCCCCCAGCAGGCTATATGAACATGTGCACGCACACACACATGCACGCACACACACACACACACACACACACACACGTAAACATTAGACCTCTAGGAATAAAATGACATCTCATTTTCATTCTGGACAGGTGTGCACCTCTTTAGTGTCCTTGGATTTACTCTGTTCATGATCTCCAAACCTCATCTTGGTCAAGTAGCCGACGATCTCCACCATACGGCGCTGATCTACTCGTACGAACAAAAAGAACAAACAATAAACACAAAACTTAGAGCAGGTGTGGGGAATCCTGGTCCCTTGAGGGCTTTTATCCAGCTTGTTTTAGTTGTTACCCTGCTTCAACTCACCTGATTTTAACCAGCAGGTGATTAACAGGCTTCTGCAGAGACTGGTGAGCTGACGAACAGGTGATTCAGCCATGACTGTTGGAGCAGGGAAACAACTAAAACATGCAGGATACCGGCCCTCGAGGACTAGGCTTCCCCACCTGACTTAGAGGATGTGAGACGTCTAAAGATCCTCCTTTACCTTCTTCTCTTTGAGCGTCCTGGTTGTAGCGCATGGATCTGGAACTGTCCCACTTACTCTTCTGAACGCTTATTCTATAACACACACACACACACACACACACACACACGCACACACACACACACACACGTGTTATCAAGGGTGGCTGACAGCACAGGTGTGTGTGTATGAGTTCATATTCAGGTGAGCTTACGTGAACGGTGTGTTGTCTCTGCTCTGTGACTGAGGATGAAGTGAAATAAGGAAATAAGGTCAGGTTAGGATAAAACAATATAATGCTTTTCAAAATTCTATTTTTCTAAAAGATAGAAAACAAGCTGATTAAACTCTCAAAATGATAATAAAAAAATAATCCCGAAAGAAATGTTCTGCTGAGAACGTCAGCAGAACATTAGCTTGAGATTATTTACAAGTGGAGACAAAACTAAAGTCTGTAGAAACAAACCTTCTCAGATTTTTCTTTTTGGAGCAGGTTCGGAGAGGACAGCTGTTTCTTCAGAGGTCTGTGGGCCTTCTTGGCCTTCTTACCAGCTGGAAACAGAAAAACCAACATGTTTGAGGCCATCAAGCGCCCTCTGCTGGCAGGAGAGAGGCAGTGAAACTATCAGATCTTTGGATCTCTGTGTCATTGCGGTAAACCCTCCCCCTTAAAATAAATAAACAAATAACATCTTATTGGAAAAATAAAAACTGATGGCACCATAAATGAGAAAAATTAAGCTAAATTATATTAAAGAAAATCAAAACCAGACAAATAAAAATTTATTTGGACTTTTTTTAAAAGGTCATTTTTAAAAATCCATCCATCCATCCGCTCATCCAGAGTCGGGTCGCGGGGGCAGTAGCCTAAGTCGAGAGGCCCAGACTTCCCTCTCCCCAGCCACTTGGGCCAGCTCCTCCGGGGGAATCCCAAGGCGTTCCCTGGCCAGGTGAGAGACATAGTCCCTCCACCGTGTCCTGGGTCTACCTTTAGGTCTCCTCCCGGTTGGACGTGCCCGGAAAACCTCACCAGGGAGGCATCCAGGAGGCATCCTGACCAGATGCCCGAGCCACCTCAACTGGTGGAATTTTTAAAATTTTAATTTAATTTGAAAATTTTAAATAAGAGAACAAGAGTAAAAAAAATTGTTTTTAATGTAAACAAATTTAAAATTAAGAGTAAAAAAACCTACAAAATTATTAAATTAGAGTAGAAAATAAACTATATAAAAATTTTATTCTAATACATTTTAAAAATCTACTTTAAAAAATATTGTGGGAGCTTTACTAGAATCGCCTTCAAATAAATATGTTGTATCTTTCTTAAAAAATTTCACCCTGGTTCAGTAGTTTCTGTACCAAACCACTTTTTGATTTGGATTTATTTACATTTTGTTTGGGAATACATTTTTAATTCTGACCTTGAACTGTTCAGGCGTTAGGGTGAAAGGGTTAGTGTTAGGGTAAGCACAACTGGAGGAATAAACCAGTCTCTAGAGAACTTCCAACATAAATCAGCATCTTTAAGCAGCCAATTGTGAAAAAGCACAAATGAATTAGTCGATTAAAGCCTTGAAGTACCTCATGACCGACAAGCTAACAGCTAGTCTAAATGCAGCCATAACCAGGAAGTATCAACAGCCCCTTCCCAGTGATATTTACACTCAATTAGGGCTGAAAAGAATCATCAAATGATTCAATTAATTGAATTCCTTGATCCATTTTTCACTTATTTGAAGCTTCAGTAAATGCTCCACAGTCTGAACACATTTCACTACGTGGTCATCTAGGTGTTGTGGAAGAAAACAGATAAAACCAGCAAAGACACAAACCAAAAGGCAGAATCGGTCCAGCGTTTGGGATCAAGAAGAAGAAGAAACAATCTTTTCTATAGCGGCTCTCAAGATAAAAATCACAAGGCGCTAAACAAAAACAAAACATTTTAAATATTAAAAAATATTTAGAAAATGTTTAAAAATATATTTAAAATAAGCAAAAATAGATCATTGTGAAAAATGTAAAGAAAGAAGAGAGAGTTAATAGGAAAGAGGGAAATCAGTGGATCCTGAGGAAGGTGAAGAAGGTCATACAAAAGCCAGCTTGAACAGGTGAGTTTAAAGGAGACCACTGAGTCCACTGATCTCAGGCTCAGGGGGAGAGAGTTCCAGAGTCTGGGGGCCACAGCAGCAAATGATCTGTCACCTTTGGTCTTTAGCCTGGTGTGCTGCACAACCAGTAGGCTTTGGTCACTGGACCTCAGGGACCTGCTGGGGGTGTAGGGACTAAGAAGATCACCAATGTAAGATGGTGCTTGTCCATGTAAGGCCCTATAGACCAGAACCAGGATCTTGAAATGAACCCTGAAGCTGACTGGCAGCCAGTGAAGCTGGAGGAGAAGCGGGGTGATGTGGGTGTGTTTGGAGGACTTGGTCAGAAGCCGAGCACAGGCGTTCTGAACCACCTGTAGACGGTTCAGGGAGGCTCTGCTCAGACACGTGAAAAGAGAGTTACAGTAGTCTAAGCGTGAGAAGATGAAGGTGTGGAGAACTGTCTCAAGTTCAGAGCGGGACAGAATGGGACTCAGCAATGTTCCTGAGATGGAAGAAGGAAGAGCAAACAAGAGAACTGACATGAAAATCCAGGGTGAGAGCTGGGTCAAAGGTCACGCTAACATTCCTGATAGACAAGAGCAAAACTACGAGTAGAATTGTTAATGCTAAGCTAGCGGGAAGCATTCTCACGAGCAACTGTGTTTCAGAAAAAACGTGATGGTTGTGAACGACTAAACTATCAGCGGAAGAAAATTCTGCAATTATGTTTCCAGTAGAAATTAAATGTTGATGAAATAAATACATTCTACTGATTATATGTGAATATATTTAGATGAATGATATTAATACAAACCTAAAATGTGACTGGAAAGTCAAATTTTGTTGCATAAAATATTTATTTATATTTAGAACTATAAATATCGGCGGGGAAGGAGGGAACATCATCATTTTAATAGATAGCATTGAGCCGTCTATAATTCAGTTGTTTTATTTTCATATTTTTAGCAGCAGACCACAATCTCGTTTCACTTGAAACGTCGTCAGATAGAATACTCGACTGATCGATGGAGGATTCGATAGAATATTCGAATACTAAAATATTCGATAGCTGCAGTCTTAGACTCGATCATATCCATCTACCGCTAAACTGACGGCTGAGGAAAGGTTTATATGACAACATTGTAGATGTTGTGAAGTGTTCAGAACCAGGCTAGCCTTTAGCACATCAGTCCTGAAGGACGTTAATCTCTATTTCTCTGAACAAAGGCCGTTCAGGCAGCCATCTACCACCAGTGGAGAAACACGTGTGGCTCATCTGTAATCTGAGTCTTTACCTTGTTTCTTTGACTGCTCTTCTTCATCCCCAACTTCATCCTCTGTGACCTCTGACCCTGTGGTGTACTCGTCATCCTCTGACACCAGCGACTGCTGCCTCTGGAAGAGTTTAGGTTAAAAATGGATAACCCACAGAACAATCAGCAGTTTAATCTTGACGAAGGTGATGTCCTACCAGCTGAAGACTCCAGTTCTTCAGAAGGGAAAACTGGGAAAACAGGGAAAGAGTTCAACCTTCAAGTCAACCCAGCAGCCGGGAAGAAGCGGCGAGACACTTACGGTGCTGCCGTCTCCTCTCAGAGGTCCGAGGAGGGTCGGTTCCAACATAATGTCCCAGTTCTGAGCCTTTTCTGCACCCAACACCGTTTCCTCTCTACGGACACACGGACATGGCATCACCGCAAGAAAAACTCAGAAATAAAAGAAGACACATCCTCCCGACAGCAACACTCACCCCTCCACAGCAGGCACGTTAGACAAACACACCACGTCTCTGTGAAGCTGCAGGTCATTAAGGACCTTGGTTTGATCCGAGGTGTCGTCACCTCTGACCTCAGGGAGGATGCTCACGATGTGGTCTCGCATCCTACAGCCCTGAACAAATCACACCGGATCAGGACTGACTTTTGGGTTCATGAAACATTTTATCAGCCTAAAATATTAAACTTTCACTGCATTTGTGACAAATAACTTCTTTTAACGTTTCTTCAGTAGACGTTAAGATTTAAGATTCTTGCTAAATCCAGAATGGCTGCTGGGTTGTTTTTAAGATTTGTTCATTTAAGATGCATTAAAACCTTAAATCTTTGTGTTCTGATTTATGGACTATCTGGTGCACAAGCTCCCAAAGCTGCAGGGCCAAGAGGGAAAACTCTAATGAGCTTTGAAAAAGGTCACCAGGCATATGAGCCTTATTCCAGGATGATTCAGAGCCCGGCTAATAGGCTTTAGAACGTCTGAAGAGAGGGATCTGTAACGGGGTCTGGGTTTGGGTCTGAGTATTTGTTACCTTGGTGGATCACCGTGGCTGCGGTGTAGGCACGGTGATCCTTCCCAGCCACCATCTCATCTGCTGAAATTGCCACACATGTGCACTTTGCAGTTTACAACCAAAACTTTCTTAAAGGGACTTTACGGAGTTTTGAATTTTTATGCTCGCGACTGCCCCCTCAGGGCAAAAGTGTAACGGCAGCTTCAATAGTAGGCTCGTGCACGAGGCGCACATGCTGTACGTGCACACTCCTTAACAAAAATACAGCTGAGACAGTCCCGTGTTTGTGTGTGTGGCCCGGAGGACAGAGGACAGGAGAACGCGTAGCTAATTAATTAAATAATTTGCTTCTGTACCTTTCTCTTCAGCACAGCCGACAAAGGTTTATGATGGGTCAGTCCTCCTGCATGCTCAGATCATTCCCTTCCCTTGCTTGAAAAATTGTTCCAAAATGAAAGTTGAACCCACATCTTTTTTATCTGTGAATTCAATGTCGTTCGGCGAGTCTCAAATAAAAATGTGGGCATCTTACTGTAAAAAAATATACCATTAATGTCAAATATAAACTCTACATAAATTACATTCACATCAAGAATCGAACACCGATCTTCTACACGAGAGACCGACGTCTAACTAGGTGAGCTATAGACCCAGTGACATCGTTTGTATCTAACATTTATATTCTTGATGACAGCTGAAACAACATTCAAAGAACGGTTCGGAGCGAAAATGGCTATTTTGTTGCTAATTTGCTGGAAATATCTAGAAGAAAGTAGCGAAGGGTCCTCAGAAATGTAGCTAGGTTCATCACTAGGCGTTAGGAACAGCGACAAAGTCGCTGAGTTGGCACTACCTCTCTCTCTGCTGCTAAAGCTACGGATAGCAAATGCTACGGGCGATGCCTGAGCGTGAACACGCATGAAGCAGCCTGCTCGACCCGAGCATCTCTCTTTTTCTGTGATTTTACAGAAAAACAGGCAATCACAGTAAAAATGCCAGGGCTCATTCTACAGGACCAGGGCATTGCAGGAGAATGTATGAAGAAGACATTTATTATTTCTATACATGTTTTGGCTGTCACACTTCCATAATGCCCCTTTAAAGCTGAAATAATAGCTGAAGGGGGAGACGGCAGCACTCAGGACATCCATCAGCCCTCAAAGAAGACAAAGTCAGCAGTATGGGCATATTTTGGATATTCGAAGAATGCTGAGGAACACTTGATAGAAAACGGGCCTGGATCTGGGCCTGGATCTGGATGCGAGCCTGGATCTGGTCCTGGACCTGGGTCGTTTGAACGGCCAGTATGAACTCAACCCTTAAGGGAAGCTCAGGGTTTGGTGCTTCATCCGACACTTTTTCATTTACATAAATCTGATCCAGACGCTGCTGCCAGCCACGAGATCAGATTTTTGCATCTCTTCTAACATAAAAAGCCGTCAAGCATCAAACATCTTCTTGTTCCAGATGTTCTCAGCAGAACATCTGGGGCCTCATTTATCAACCGTACTTACGCACAGATTTGTGCGTATTTCGTGCGTAGGCACGAATTTGCGCATAGTGTGGGATTTACCAACTTGTACTTGTGCGTAGGAATGTTCGTAAATGTAAGAAAATCTGAACCCATGCGTACGAACAGCGTCTAGTGGTAGAACGAGGAACCGCAGCTCTGAATGTCCCAGTCATCCATGTTCCTCATGCACAAATCTATATTTACCCAATAAATAACTATTTAGGTGGAGAAAACAGCTGTGTCTCATTATCGGAGCTAAAGCCTATAAAAGACACCCGTGCCTGACGGGAATCGAACATTATGTCATAGCTGATTTGTGTTCCATTTTTGGTTCTTTTTAAAACACAGGAAAGGTTTTTCTTTACCTTGCTGATGAACGTTTCGTTTGTTGACTGCAAAACATCCTCAGAGCTGACGCAGATGGTGGCGTCACTTCCTACTCCGTTTATCCGCGGGCAGCAGAGGACATTGTCGCCCTCTGCTGCCCGCTCTCCGCTCTCTGATCATCGGGTTAGGATAGGGTTACTATCTGGTAGGGTTCCTCTACCATTTATCAGATTCGTTTTTTTTATTTATTCCCGACGGGAACCTCGCCTCAGTCCCGACTGCGTTTATAACCTCTACAACTCTCTTTTGCGCTGGCAGCCAGTGTTTCGATCTCGCCATCAATGAAGTTTTTTAATTTTCTTCAGAAAAATAAACAGGAAATCCCCTCACGTGCTAAAGATGTAGCGCGACCAAATATGGTTAACTGAGGGCGTCTCTGTATGTAATGACGGTGAACGGACACAAGCACCTGGGCACGCACAGGTGGGATTTATCATCAGACGATTGCGAAGGAACGTGCGCATGAGAGGCCACCGCAATAAAAATATAAATATAGAAATGTTCGTAGGAACGTTTTGATAAATGAGGCCCGTGGCTCTCAGACTACAGATCTGGTTCCAGAAACAGGAAGTAGAGCTTTATGTTCTCAGGCTCCTCTCTGGACACCATCTGTGAGACAGACACCCTGTCTAGTTAGGGTTATCCTACCAGCCACGGTTTGGGAACTCTTCTATTCCAATAACCCCAGCCCCCAAGAATTCTAACCAATCCAATCAGCACTGAGCAGCGTACGCCACACACCGCAATGCCGAGTTTCTCATAAAAATGCATCTGAAGTGGTCTGAAGCTGTTCTAAATGACTTGGACAAGTGTTTAAAACCACAACAAGCAGCAGCGCTAAACGCCTTTCTTCTAAAGAAGATGTTTGCACCTTTTTTCTGATTGGTCATTGGCTAGTCCCGCCCCTCGTGTGCCTCTCTGCCTGTGAGTAACCAGACTAGTTCTCTGTGCAGACAAGACTAGGTTATCAAGCTCATCCCTTTAGTTATGCTGCTATTGGCTCAGACTGCAGGAGGACATCTCATTCTGCTGGTTTTACTCTCCCAAGTTTGTAATTACAGTACTGATTGGTCCAACCCAACCGTGTTTGTCTCCGTCTCTTTCCATTTCTCGCAGATCCTCGTCGGTCCAGAGACGGCCGCCCATCCTGGTTCTGCTGAAGGTTTCTTCCTGTTTTTGAAGGAGTTTTCCTTCCCACTGTCGCCCACCATGTCGTGCTAGCTCAGGTTGAAGAGTCTATGCTTTTTTTTTTTCCTCATTTAAGGCAAACTGGAAGCTGAACTGGATCATAAACATCAACCTTTGGCCTACAGAGGTATCGTGATCCCAGGATCTGTGGGTCAAAGCCGTGCATGAGGACTCACCTTTGGTATCCCAGTGGGATCGAAGCGGAGAACCCTCTGGTTGCAACAGGGATGAACTCCGGCACCACCCCAGCCTTTCTCTGCACCCATGCCTGGGTACAGCACACCGTCCGGATGGTACCTGCAGCAGGTCAGCTCTGCACACACAAACACCTGCAAACACACACACACATGCTTTATTTACACACATACCCACACATTTATGATCTTTTCTCATCTGATGCCGTTTCCAGAGTCGAACCTGCTGGCACCTGGAGCAGGTGAGGTGGTTGATGGTACCCCAGATCCTCCAGTAAACCAGAACCCAGGACTTCAGCTCCTCGTAGAGGCTTGTGATGTATTCATGCACATCCCAGCTTTTCTGTCTGCAAACAAACACGCAATCAGTTCATGAAGAAGGCGTGGCTAATCTGAGCTCAGTTTGTAACTAAAACATTATTTTATGACAACTGTGAATTTGAGGGGAAAAGGAGCACGTGTCCGTTTTACAGCTGAAGTTAATTAAACAGGACACGATTGTGTTTTTTTGTCTCGCCTAACAGCCGCTGTGGTACCTGGTGTGTGTAAAGATGACTTCTCCTTGAGCATCGATGCTGATTTTCCCAGGAACACAAGAGATTTTCCTCTCCGTGTCTCTGGTCAGGAGTTTAAGGCACAGACCACACCTGGATTAGCAAAAATATCAAATGAACCAAAATGTTTACATTTTCAGAAATCCCTCATGGTGTAAGGTCAACGACAGCCAACACAGAGCAGAACTAACCGGTACAGGGTTGAGGCATTCCCTGGTGAATCTTTGTTCTTGTAGTTCGGATCAAAAAGATGCTCGATTTTCTTTTTAAACAGTTTGCTTGTGGAAAGAAAAAACACGATCAAAGGAAAAGTCAAACACCAATAATATCCCGTTAAGCCCGTCCCACTTAGACAAGGTCCTGAAGGACAGACTACACAGCTGTAAAGGACTACAGGAAGAAGACAGAAGGGCCAGGTTTGAAATTCACCACCTACAGCAAACAAACAGGATTTTGTTTAAAATCAAACTTATTCTTATTTTAACAGATCCGCAGTGGTCTCTAGAACGAATGATTACCCTGTAAGTTGTTCTCTGGGCGAAAAACCTCAGATGCACCCGTTTAGGTACAAGAGAAAGTAGCTTCAGACGACCGGATCTGGAGTCTTACTTCCTGACATGTGGATGTCTCTCCTCTGATTGGCTAACAGCAACACGACTCTACCGCTGACTCTGTCTGCTCTGCAACGTTGATGTTTTATCTCCACAAATAACACAAGCCTGGAGGAGTTCTGCTGTGTGGTGGAGTTGCTGATGCTAACGGTTAGCTTCTACAAGCAGAGATGTACTCTGCTGTTTCCTGGACGCTAAAGCAACAACAGCCTTCCCTGTCTTGAGTCAAGATGGGTGAGTCCATGAATGTTAAAGCTGCTGTCCAGAGTTTTCTCCTTTTAGGAATTATGTACGATTTTCAGAAATCCATAAACGTGATTGTTTTATGTTCTGTGATATAATGTAGGCAATGTGGTTTTTTTGGTACGCCCACCCCCTGTCCCGTAGAGCTCCATGCAATATGAACTAAGCGCCAGTCAGCACTAACCAATAGCGTTATCTGCTCACATACAGATGCCAATCACAGAGCGTGCTCGAATGTTTAAGGACGTACCTTGGTTTAAAGTAAGTTAACATATAAATATAAAAAACACAACATAACGTGTGCATAATAATTGTAAAACAATGCGTTTTAGCTTGGTTTTGTTGGCTAGAGGAGCATGTGTAGGAGACTATTCTCAGGTTCATCCTGCATGAAACACTCAGAGTGACCCATTAGAAACTGAAATAATCATTAAAATGGTTTTTCAGTGAACTTGCTCTTTAAGAAATGAGCTAATCCATCATCTGTAAGATTAATTTTCAATCAAGCCTTTAAATGGCAGGTTACAATAATTTAGTTCCTGTGTCTTACTGAAACATGCACTAAAAAAAACAACACTAAGCTAATAAAATAATAAGAAATACAGATGCTAATAATTTTCCTATATCTTCAAGGAACATCCAACTAAACAAACTCTTGTTTGTACATCCAAACATTCGTCACAGCTTTTTTCTACTTTTAAGGCAGCACCGTCTGTTTTCTTGTATTGTGGAACTAAATGATAAAGCAGAGGATAAAGTCTAATTAGTTGTCTATGTGTGTTATAAACTAATGTCTGAATGCATTTTTGTGTTGATATTACATTATTATCACCTTGATTTCTTATCTGGCTCTAAACAGGTGAACTCTCTCACCTGCTGATGTAGCTAACCCATGTTTAGTCCCACAGACTACGTAGACATCTGGGATCTAGAATGCCAGGGACTGCTCTGCTGACTCCAAATAAAAATGGCTGCTGATGGTGCATCCTCTGCTTTCATCACCTTCCTTCTTCTTACCTCTTGAACTTGTCCTTTTTGTCGCGGATGTCGTGGGCCTCGTTGTGGTTAAAGAGTTCGGCGATCTGCGATGCCAGGTTGTTGTTGATGCAGTTCATGTTGCAGGGAGTCGCCACGATGGAGCTCATGTGTTTGTGACAGTAATGGATGCACTCCTCCACCTGGTTGTGGATGAAAACAGATTTTTATTCTTATAAAAATGTTTTATTGGTGGAGTAAATCTCAGGAACTCTACCAAAGCTTTGCATTCAGAGTCTTTTCGGAGCTATAATTTTGCATTTTACAGGTTATAAAGATAACCTGAACTGTAAAACATAAACAAAATATTCTAGACGTCTTTCATTTATGCATGAATAACTTAAGTTCTGTGCACAGACACTGTTATTTATTTCCATCCATCCAGTCGGGCCGTGGGGGCAGCAGCCTAGCCAGAGGACCAGACTTCCCTCTCCCCAGCCACTTGGGCCAGCTCCTCTGGGGGATCCAGTTGAGACACATATGGGCCATTCCCATCTGTACCGGGTCGGCCCGGGCCGGGCAGCGTAGGTTGTTTACATATCTGGGTGGCCTGGTATTTTTCCGGGCCAACCAAGGCTCATTCTCAGCCCTCTTCTCGAGGGGGTCTGCTTCAGGTCGACCAGGGCCAACACACCCACTGCTGACAGCAAATTCACACCTTCCATTAGAGCAAGCCTCTGATTGGTGGGTAGAATCAGCCCACATGGGCTTAAGACAAGGATGTGTGGAATCAACCAGGCCAGGCTGGGGCCGACTGGGGCTACCCGGCCCGGGCCGACCCGGTACAGATGGGAATGGCCCAATAATAGTCCCTCCAACGTGTCCTTTAGGTCTCCTCCAGGGTTGGACGTGCCCGGTAAACCTCACCAGAGAGGCGTCCAGGAGGCATCCTGATCAGATGCCCGAGCCACCTCAACTGGCTCCTCTCAATGTGGAGGAACAGCGGGTCTACTCCGAGCCCCTCCCGGATGACTGAACTTCTCACCCTATCTCTAAGGGAGAGCCCAGCCACTCTGTGGAGAAAACTCATTTCGGCCGTTTGTATCCGTGATCTTGTAATGCATAAAACGAACACAGCTTCAGACGTGATGTCTGGAATATTAACCAAAAAGGTGTCATCTCCGTATGAATGTCGGAATTACGTACAGAATTTGGTGTCGGATCGTAGTTTTAATCGCAGCTGGTCAGGCCGGGATTAGGAATGTAGCGTTGTGATAACGTTGGAAAATAGGATTTCTCTGTCTTCCAGTCACACAAGAGTAAAGTAAAGAGATAGAATGAACAGACACCCATCTGCAGCTTCGTGCAGACACAGAGTTGGGTGAGAGAGAGGGACAGCGCCCCCGAAGGCAAGCGAATGGGAAGCCCCGCTCCAGTTTAGCAGAACAACTGAGCCAGAAAATAAACACGAAGTGTAAAATGACTTGAATAAGACTGGACTTGGATAGCCTGTGCTTAAATCAATGAATCTGAAATGAATACCATGAGTTATTCAAACATTTCATTTAGACATCTTGTTCATTCATCACATATGATTATTTAACCCATAAGTTGTGAAGCCTTGTACAGGGTATCTGCAGGTTTAAGGGAGCAAAATTTAAGACTTTTTAAGACATTTTTAAGGCCTCTTTGACCAAATTTAAGCTATTTTTCTAATTAAATTTAAGCTATAATTTCCAGCTATTGCCTGATTAGCCATCCAGTTACCATTAAACTTGCACTTCCCCACTAGCTTAACCAGCTAATGTGCTCATCTAAAATAGCCCCCTTTCACAACCGACTGAATGTGTACGGTTCCGCTTACGCCAGCGTCATACTTAAAAACACTAACTAGAAATTCACGAACATTTTTGGGTCTTTGGTCATTTAAGACCTGTGGAAACTGGATTTAAGGATTATTTGTCATTTTTAAGGATTTTTAAGGCCTTAAATTTGGAAAAGCAAATTTAAGACTTGTTAAGACTTTTTAAGGACCCGCGGATACCCTGCTTGTAGGATTCATGTGGATTCGCTTTTATCCAGAGTGAGGAATCCAGCAGTCAGACTTTTAGCAGAGAGATAAGGCTTTTGCGGGAGACCCTGGCAGTTTGTGTCTGCGTTGAAGAACATTAAGTGAGCAAAAGGTTGATTTGTGCGTCTGGATCCTCCAGCTGGCGTAACCACGACTTTGCAGCTGTGGCGTGCGTGAAAGGTTACCGTGTCAATTCGATGGTGAAAACTGACCCTTTTATTCACTACAATCTCGTTCTTTCGGTCACGACCCAAAGCTCGTGGCCATAGGTGAGGGTAGGAACATAGATAGACCGGTAAATCGAGAGCTTCGCCTTCTGACTCAGCTCTCTCTTCACCACGACAGACCGGTATAACACCAGCATCGCTGCAGACGCAGCACCAATCCTCCTGTCGACCTCACGCTCCAGCTTTCCCTCACTGGTGAACAAGACCCCGAGATACTTAAACTCCTCCGCTTGGGGCAGGACCTCATCCCTGACCTGGAGAAGGCGTTCTACCCTTTTACAATTCAAGACCATGGTCTCAGATTTAGAGGAGCTGATTCTCATTCCAGATAGTCCCTGTTATTCATTTATCGATCAATTCTCCAGAAAACACAAGACGCAACCTCAGAACTTACCAACATATCCATCTTCAGGAACTCAGAGGAGATAAGGATTGAGATCACATTGCTTGGCTCTGCAAACAAAAGAACACGACATTTAGTGAATTAATCAAACGTAAAATGTAATCGTTACATTTTATTTCTCAGATTTACCCAGCCGGGGTTTGTCCTTGTTCCCCTCTCCTGCTGTGTTCCTTCTGACATAATTCATGAGCCAATCGAAGATCTGCACATCACAGTGAACAGAGATGTCCACCTCCTCCCATCGCTGCTGGTCCAAGGACAAATATTCAGCAAAGTAACGCATCTCCTTGACTAGAAGGTCTCTGGGGCATGTGAAATCCTGCTTCAGGTTCTTGGTCTCGTCACAAACGTGGATCACGATGTTGGGGCTGCAGAACAGGGTTCAGTAATGACACCTCAGACGTTTGTTAGGAGGACTAAGCTTTACAAAGCAGATTTCTGACATTTAACGGGTTGGTGCAGATCTCCTGACTCACTCTCGTGGCTTTGGAGGTTTGTCGTCCTCTTCTGCTGAGAGTCGTTTCTCTTTCTTCTCCACAGAGCCACCTCTGATGTTGGGAACCGACTTGAAGCCTGCGTGAACACACAGCAGATTTATAAACACAACCTACAATAAAAACCACAGCTACTAAACTGCTCCTAAAGCCACGACTGAATTTTCTGAGATTTGAGAACAAAAGCAGCACAAACTGACCCACGACTTTACAGCTGCTCTTGACCACGGCTGAGTCCTGCAGCGGGCTTTCTGATGGGGACGTCCTTGCTTCTGTCAGCTCATTAAACTGATAATCCACACGTGGAAAAGCTCTCATACTCTGCAGCTCCGCAAATCGACAGGCACACTGTAAAACCACATTAGACTCAGTCAACTGGTTTCTGTTGCTAGTGGTGCTAAACCATGAAGCAGGAGATGAACTTGATGGGATAACTAGTGAGACGATGGATGATGGAGGGGACTGCAGTTACCTCTTTTGGAGTGAAGCCCGGTAACAGCTGGGCTACGTTGTCCCAGTTTATGGGCTGGGCCGTCCCCCATAGAGAGCCCAGAACCATGTCCAGAACCAGGACGTTGTTGTCACACGGAAAGTTGTTGTTGTCCAAAGAGAAATGACTCATCTCTACAGACTGAGACCAAAAAAAAAAAAAAAAAAAAAATGCATCAAATCTACAACAATGTATATTGACCCTAAAAATGTTTGACTTTGTGTGTGTTAACTGATTGTTTGATGTTTTTTTATGATTGATAAAGATTGATTGGTTAAAGATTTGAGTGTCTACCAAATAAACAACCAACACAGAAACTCATCTGAGCAGTGATGCTACTGCAGGAATAATCTCAGTGCTTTTATAAAAAATAAAATAAATAAATGAGATTATTTCAACAACACACATTTAAATCGTCTAGATTAAGGCATTATGTTAAAATAATGTTCCTAACCGTTGTCTAGTACAGTCAAAGATGCTGGATCTTCATGCCATGGCGTGATGCTGATGCTGCGGTCTGCTTCTACCGGCTAAAAGGCTAGCTACTTTCTGCTGCCTTCAGGTACCCCTCGAAAAAGCTCCGTGACCCTTTTAAAACAACTGGTCACGCGTTTACGCGACATCCCTCAGCTGTAGTGAATTAAAGTTATAAGTAACTTCTTACACAAACTTCTGGCTTGAGAGGTGGGCATGGGGACACTCGGTGGGTAAAAAAGTGTTATCCATCGCAGTTTTCTTAATCAATGTTTTCAAAAAAACTTGATTTTACCTAAAGTAAGTGAATGCACCATTAGCTAGCAGCAGCTAGCATTACCGCAAGTAGTTTTAGCAAAGTTTATTAACCTGGTTGCAAAAGAAAATAGCAACCAGTCAATAAAAACGCAAACGGAGTACTTGTCAGGTTATTGAAATTTCAGCGGTTTATTTCCTTTCAGCTCAGCAGCGTTGCCTCATCTCCGATGTCGCACTGCAGCTCGTTACCGTATCCTGTAATTACTTTTAAAATAAAAGTAAACTTCCGGGTCGGCTTGTTTCTAATTTACATTCACAAACAAGACTCCGAAGATTGTGACTGCCTCACAGTTTAATTAAAATCATTTTTAACCATACCGATGTGGGATCCTCTCTTTACACTTGCTGAAAATCATTTACTTTAAACCGAAATTGAAAATGTAAATGAATGGTGTTTCTTTAAAATTAAAGAGCAAGTCACCCCCAAATCAACTTTTTTTTCCTGATAAACTATATAAATGTGTGTCTAATCGTGCTGCAGACACATGTGGTCAATAGTTTTGCACTTTAGTGCATTTTAGTTACAATTTAAAATTTCTGCCTAAAACTGTCAGTGTTGTGCCGTTGTCAGGTAAAAACTCTGCACTGCATTTGAATTTAAAGCTCCCATCGCTATTGGCTAAGAGGTACCCTTAAACATTAGCTGGTACCATATGATGTCACAATGTTGTTGTGAGTCTCTGTGTGTGTGTGTGTGTGTGTATTTGTTAGCGGCTCCGGCTTCTCGGTCTGCTAGGCAACAGCATTTGTTGCATTTTTCAAACAGAAAGTGGGAGTGGAGTAATACTCTGGTAAGGGGTGACTTGCTCTTTAAAGCCCATACTCTACGGGTTATGTAAAATGATGACTAAAGAACACTTCTGAGAGCCAATCAAATAATGTTGCTCCCTTTTTGTCTCACATTTTAAACTTTTGTGATGTGGTTCATTCTAGGCTGTTTTCAGCACATTCATCAGCAGTTGGGCAGTAAAAAAGTGCTTTATAAATAAAAGTTGATGATTACTCTAAACATGAACTTCAAAACTAGCTGATATTACCAAGTGATATTTGTGACACATCAGACTGCGTAAAAGCAGTTTCTATTAAAAGCTGGTGTCGTTTTGTTGCAGCTTATGAAATTTCCTTAACAGCCACAATAGTGCTTTATTTGGCCCAAAGGTTATTATGGTGGATACCAGAAGGCATACCTGTGCTTTAAAATAATTTATTTTTAAAATTTAAAACAGTTTATACTTTGCAGATTTAAAAAAATCTATCCTTTCCCTTATGAATTATATAAAATGTCCCTACATTAACACTGCATAAAAAAAAGAAACTGATAAATCAGAGTAAATAAATCAGACTTTTCAATTACAAATGATGATAAAACATCTGTTTGCTTATAATCTAGGACTTTTTTTTTCCATAAAGAACTTAAGACTTCTAATGTAATTAAGACTTCTAATGTAATAAATAATATCTAATAAATTATTAAAAAACGTACCTGTACAGAAACCACATTTCTGTGTGTTTTAAATCTCCTGTCATGATTGAGTTTGTAAGATTTAGTTACTGTTGTAGTGAAAATATAACAAATAGACAATGCTTAATTTTGAAAATATATTTCCTTTTCCTAAACTAATCAAGTTAAATATTTACATTGAGTGATTGATTAACCGATAAAATTGGGAAAAATTAGACATCTCTGAATGAATCAAAGTCCTTTCGCTTCACTCAACAAACACAGACGCCTAAAGCTCAGACAGATTAAATGAAAAGCTAATCTCAGACGAACTAAAACAGTGTTTGAATAACATTTTTCTCGTTCAGACTCGATCGTCACAGGTCATCCTTCTCCGGGATGTTTATCAATGTGTCGGAGGACATGCTGGAACTGAAAGAGGCTGGCGCTGCTCCATACGCCGACTCAAGCTGCTCTGCAGACGCCGTGGAAAGATCTCGGTTAAAATCTTGAGCTGCGGGCGAGTGCGACTGCGGAGTCGAGGCCGTTGCAGAAGCCGGCGCCATTCCTGGCTGAACCTGAGCAAGCCTCTCCATCTCGGCATACCTGCGCCCTCTCCTCTTGCCAAGGACTTTCACGTAGTTGGCAGGAACGAGACCTGTGGTCTGACCGTCAACGCTGGCGAGCAACCAGCCACGCACCCGGGGTTGTTGCTCTAAACACGAGGAGGGGAAACAAGTTTTAGTCTCGAAGAAGTTGAGAAAATGTTCTGGACAGTGAACGTCACACTGTCGCAGGATGTCTATGAAAACAGGCTTGTCTGAGACGATGTGTTGAAGCTTTCAGATTATAGCTTTGGAGATAAAAAACAAAACAAAGGCAGATTCTGTTTCTGTGTCAGAGCTTAAAACAGATTAGAAACTCTCCTAAAGTGAAAACTGAAATCATAATTGTTCAATTAAACATCTTCATCAACAAAAATATCATACAACATTCAAAATATGAAATCTCATTTTAAAAGTAACCTGAGTGGACGACACAGAAAGGGATAAAAACCACACGAAGGTAATACTTTTCACATATTTTGAACTACAAATGCCGCTTTTTTAAACCAGTTTAAACTCGAAGACAGGTTATGTTCAAAGCTTCTACCTTTAGGGGCGAGGTTAAGCATATCTCCAGCCTGCAGAGAAAGCTCCTCCTCAGAAGCTGCTGAAAACCCAAACTCAGCTTGGGCCACAACGTGATCGTCCTCCCCGCTGGCCCAGTCAGTAGCTAAACAAACAGAACAATTTCACTGAAAGCAGGTAAAGACAACGGTTAGTGTTGTTGTACAAGCTGTGGAGTCCAAGTTGAACTGATTCTCGCCCGTCTGTCACCACTGAGTCTTTACTAGTCTATTTACTGAGAAGTCTTGTGTCAGAAAACAGCTTTAAACATCAAATAATGAGTTGGAATAAACACAGAAGCAGGTTTGGAGACAGAAGAACATGAAACACAAGCCTTACTGTTTTCTTCACTGGCAGCACTGGAGCTGAGAAGTTTCCAGATGAGGTAGGGGCCGCCGAGGACTACAGCAAAGAACAGGAAGACCGGCCAGGACTTCACACGCTGATCCTCAGCGCCTGCTCCGTTACCTCTAGATGAACTCGTAGCAAGAACATCACTAGTGCTGTCAGCCCACAAGTCCTCAGCATCTGCGTCTGGCCGCCCCCTCCTCAGAAGTCGCTGCAACCATCTGTACAGGTAACGCAATGTTCGGACAAAAGCAAAAGCTGACAGAACTCTAGTGAGGTCAGCACGCAGCCTCGTTAGATGGTTAGCGACATCCAGCACCGCTCGAAAACTGTTGTACACCGCTGAGAAGGTGGCGTCGAGCATCATGCTGACCGAAGAGAAGGCCTGGACGATGCTCTCAATGGACTGGAAGGCACCACGGCTGCTCTCCTCGGCCTGCTGCACAAACCGGCTGGGGACAACGTCCTCTCGGGGGGGGAAGTGTCTGTAGCCCACTGAGTTGAATCCACTACCGTAAGAGTAGGGGCTGTAGCCGCCATAGAAGGAACTCCCATACGGACTGTGCGAAGGCATGAAGGAGTTGTAGGATGGACGATAGGACTGCTGGACAGGCCGGGGGGGCACTGGAGGAGCCATCCTGGTCAGGACAGGAGGACCCACAGAAGTGGAGGCGACTCCTGCAGCGGGCCCAAAGCCGGTAGACCTATTTGGTGAGAAAAACAAGCTAAGATACAGAACAGCTGTTTCCTGTGCGTTTTCAGGAAGAACTAAAACATGCATGACCAGAGTTGTTGAAAAGAAGCTAAAATAATTTCACTCATTCACTGCCAGCCGTTTCCTGATCAGAAAAACCCTTCGCTGCCAGCGTTTTCACTTTTTAAGTGCTCTGCTTTGGGCTAATGCCAGTTAAGCGTGTAAAATCAGTGGATCAGAGCAGGCGTGTTGATAAAAGGCATTTTAAACCACAAAAGACGGGCAAAAATCTAAAGTTAGAGGACATGTACACTAATGTAAAAAACAGTAAATGCTGTGAGTGGCTTTAACGTTTATTAAAGGCAAAGCAACAAACGCTGGAACGAAGCTCTAGCTAACTACATTTAACGACATTTTGTCGAAAACAACTTATGAGCTGCTGAAACTTAACTAAGTCGTTATTTGAGCTCCGAACAACAAGGACATTGGTTTTGATTGAACATGTTGTTAATAGTGGCCCTTGATCATTAGTGTTAGCATTTGGCTAACTTTCGAGCCAGCTGTGACAGGTAAACACGCGAGAGCGAGCAAGTAACATTATTATTTACCTGTAATTTACTGGCGCACTCATAACTCTTGGAATGTGCCCTTGCCACGGTTTAGGTGGAGGTTGAGAATCCATTGCTAAATATTAGCCCGCAAGGGTAGAAATATAGCAATATTTGCCCTCGTCCCCAAGTTGTCTCTACTGCGGCCTTCTTCTTCGTTGGTGCTAAATTCTTACCTTCTTTAATCCAAGTAGGAATACTTGATGCTTTTCTGCCCCCTTGTGGTTCTAATGGTAATAGCCGAGGCTAAAGGCTAAACCTCTGATGTGGTCATTTCGCAGAAAAAATACACACATTTGTTTAATTTGCCTTTTAAATTCAGAACATTATTGGACTAAACAGAGATTATTCCAGAGGATTAAAATTTGTAAATCATTTTCTCTTTCGATCAGCGTTAACGTAACAATCTGTATGTGGCCAACAGAGGACGCTACAATCCTTAATCACAATAACAGAAATGTGAAACTATCTCTCAGCAACAGGTTAAAGGTAAATATAATAATATAATTTAATATCTATATGTGTGTGTGTGTGTGAGTGTGTGTGTGTGTGTGTGTGTGTGTGTGTATGTAAAAAAATGAAAATAGCAACAGCACTTTTGTTTACATGGAAAACTCCCATCAGATTAAACAGTGAACTCTCTAGAATATTTGTAAAATATATTACAGTAAATAATCAACTAACAAAAACAACAACAAAAAAAATCACTCTTCTCAATGTCACCCCACATTTATTTCTTGACATTGTCTTTAAAATGTTTTATTTGGCACAACTCCACATCTGCATGAGGAAGAACAGATAATTTAGTGATGTTTTTACAATAATATCTTACAGGAAAAGGATAGCAGTACAGCATGAGTGCAGTTTTAACATCAGAATCTTTCAACCAAAACAAATTCTGATAACAAAAATCCATAGGAATCACAGCTCATAAGTGTGTACTGTCACTTTAGGATTTCACTCTTTATAATTTTCTGCACCTAAAAACCTTCTTGATTAAAAATAATAATAAACCCAACAAAAACCTGTTTTTCATGCTGTTGCAAAAGAATCAAAACCTACTTGAGAGCTGGATTCAGAGGAACATTTTCATTTGTGAAAATATAAAAACTAACTGTGATCTTTACAAAAAAATAACTGAAAGATCAGACATCCAATTTAATTTTACCAGGAAGTTTAAACATCTGATCTAAAAAGGAGAACCAGTAAAAAAACGGAGGTTTATGTAGAAAAAGGATATTCAGTTAAATTATTTCTGTTTGTTGGAAAACGTTACATTTCTGTGATCTCAAAATATTATAAAACGCTAACAATGATTCTTGATGTCAATGCTGAAGCGGTTTAATAATTATAGTTATTTTTACATACAATAGGATCCCATCTACAGCAATGTTTATACTTATTTTCCATCATTAGAAACTGATATAAACTGTAATGAAAGAGGATTAAAAAAACGGTTCAAGTATTTGAAACGATTTAATTAAGTTTAAAGAGCAAGTCACCCCCTACCAGATTCTTACTCAACTCCCACTTCCTGTTTGAAAAATGCAAAAAATGCAGTTGCCTGGCAGGCCGAGAGGGCGGAGCTGCAAACAAATGCACACACACACAGGCTCACAACAACATTGTGATCTCATAATGTACTAGCTGACATCATAGTGTACTTCTTAGCGATTAGTGACGGCAGATTTTAATTCGAATGCAGTGCCGTTTTTACCTGACAACGGCGCAACAGTGACAGTTTTAGGCAGAATATGTCAGTTGTAACTAAGATGCACTAAAGTGCCAAATTATTGACTGCATGTGTTTACAACACACTTAGACACTTGTTTATATAGTTTATCAACAAAAACAAGTTGATTTGGGGGTGACTTGCTCTTACCAGATTCTTACTCAACTCCCACTTCCTGTTTGAAAAATGCAACAAATGCTGTTTCTGTCACGTTGAGGGCCTGGAGGAGGTTTGGACTCAAAATGCAGACACCCAGAACGACATGAGGCAGGAGTGGACGTAAATGAAAACATTCCTTTATTAGGAAGGGGAACAAAAAATTCCAAAAGGGCAGGAAGCCAAAAACCAATATCATGAAACCCTGGAGAACGAAAGCTCACTTAAAGAGCACAAAACCTAGAGACCTAGTGACGAGGAACAAAACAACGCTGACGCCAAACAATGGACTGACAAAACAGGGTTTTATACACTGGGGAGGATGAGAGGGAGAAGAACTGCAGGTGTGTGGGGAGAGAGAGACCAGGTGAACTCAATTACTAATGAGGGGGGAAACTAACATGACCCAAGAGTAAATCCTAAAGACAAGAAGAGCAGGAAACATAACTAATAATCCAAGGGGGGAGGAAAACCTCAAACACAGATGGGGAAAACACACTAGAGAGACTAATAACATGAACAGCTGTAGCTAAAGGAAAAATGACCTAAGAGAAAAACCTAAAGACCTGAAGGGCAGCAAACATAACTAATATTCTAAGGGGGGAGCTGACACTAAAGGAAAACACTACAGAAGGAAAAACTACAGGGACGTGACTAAAGGGGGCCACAGGAGCACAGGACCTGGGAGAGGGATACCTGAGGAGGGAGACCTAGAGGGCTGAAGATCTGGGGAAAAATGGAGAACACCAGGAGACACATGAGGAAGACGCAGACAAGGACACATGAGGGCGCTAGGAGACACAAAAGGAGAACCTAGAGAGGGATGGAGAACACAAGGAGACACATTGTGACATCATATGGTACAGGCTAATGTTCTAGGGTACCTCTTAGCCAATAGCCATGGCAGATTTAAATTAAAATGCAGTGCAGAGTTTTTACCTGACAACAGCACAACACTGACAGTTTTAGGCAGAAAATTTAAATTTGAACTAAAATGCACTACAGTGCAAAACTATTTACTACATGTGTCTGCAGCACGATCGGACGCGCATTTATGTAGTTTATCAAAAAAAAGTTGATTTGGGGGTGACTTGCTCTTTAAAGAAAACCTGCTAACAGAGGCAGATATGAGAGAATAAATGTCAGAAAACCCTGTGGAGGCGGTTTGTGATGCTGTGAGAGGGAGGCAATTTTTCTTGAAGCTCACGCACGTTTGAGCAGAGGTGTGTGTGTGTGTGTGTGTGTGTGTGTGTGTGTGTGTGTGTGTAACGGAAAGGGTTACGGTTATTTCAGTTCTATAGAAGTTTCATTTGTAAAGTTACTCTTATTTTGGTGGTCCAGTTTGTGACGTCACTTTCTGTACAGCCGTTTTCTCTCGTGTCCTCCGTAGTCCAAGTTGTTAGTGATGGCAGACAGCCTCGTGTGCGTTCATGACTAATATGCAAGTTTGGTTAACTGTAGCACCTCTGCTAATACATAAATAGCCTATAAGTTCATTCTGTATCTTTTATGTGTCTGTCTGGACTTTTTCTTTGGGTTATTTTTAGAGGGAGGGTTCCTACAGGTTTGCAGTCCGCATTTTACTTCTCTTAATTTGTGCTATGTGTGCTAATACTGGTTCATTTGTTTACTCCATGCATGGACGTAATTTTCACTTGAGAAGTGGGGGGACACGGGGGGGGGGGGGGGGTGTCTTTACAGTATGCTGTAATGGGAAACTGGTTTCAACACAAACGGCTGTTTTCCGCTTGGTGTTAGAGCTCAACCTGTGTCAATTTAATATTGCGTAATATTGTTTTTGGATGGTAAAAAGTGCAGGGATCAAAACTTGATTTTGGAAAAAGTGGGGGGGGGGGGGGGACATGTCCCCCCTGTCCCCTCCCAAAATTACGTCCATGACTCCATGTATATCCCTCCAGGACGTCGGTTCAATTAAGGTGTGATTTAAAGCCGGGCAGCATGCTTCAGTAGTGTGGTACCTGCAACCGCAGTACCTCGGTTTGACCACCAGAGATCCCGGAGACCATCTTGTTTGTCAGAGCCTCTGAGGCTGGAAGCCACAGTATTACTCTGTGTAGCCCTTGAATGTGCATCATTTGGGTGTATGCTCGTTTATTGCATGGTCTTTAACGCTTAAATATTTTATTTCACAGTTTGAACAGTCCTTTTACATCATTCTTTGTTTTTATTTTCCAGACCACATGAAACTACAGACATGTGTAGAGGTCCATACTCCTACTGTCAATATTGGCAAAACTGTCTCCCCGTGCCCTGCTCTCTGACCGGAGTCCTTATCTTGGAGATGCTATCAGATCAGCAAACGATCTTCAGAGTTTCCACTCCATCACTGTGTGTGTGTGTGTGCGCGCGTGTGTGTGTGTGCGTGTGTGTGTGTGTGTGTGTGTGCGTGTGTGTGTGTGTGTGTGTGTGTGTGCGCGCGTGTGTGTGTGCGTGTGTATGTGTGTGTGTGTGTGTGTGTGTGTGTGTGTGAGAGAGAGAGGGAGTCCTGTGATGTCAGTAGTGTTGATGGCGCTCATGAGGGGGCGTGTGCAGAGCTGTCACAGTAGCTCCTCTCCTGAGGCGCATACGACAGTCTGGTGTGTCGTCCCACGGCGTGGGCGTGTTAGAGGCTGAGGCTGTTTGTGGTTGACACCGTCCGAGGTCTCTGGGGGATGAAACTCGTCGCTTTTCTTTAATGTGAGAAGATCAAGGGTCATGAAGTAGAAGAAGTTCAGCAGATTGGCTGCAGTCAATGTTTTAATTTCTGCAACGCTGCAGGAGTTTGATGAAGTTCCCTCTCGTCAGCAGCTTTGACCTCAGATCTCTCTGAGCAGCGCCAGAGTCATATCAGATTGTGTGTGACAGGGAGGAGACCCTCTAAAATACAAAAGACCTGATTCATTTAAAACAGCACCAGATGGACTATTTCCAGAAACATAACTTAAAAGGTCGTCTGTAAGGAAAAGTGTATGCTTCAGTTTCTAGGGTCAAATGATAAAACATAAAACAACCATGAATCAGTTTTAAGCATGAACATGAGGAACTGATGATGATTCCAGGACAGAAAGTGGTTCTTTTTGTCACTTTTCATTAAGAATGAATACATATAGTTTTGGAACTGGGTCTAAATATTTCTGAAATGATGACCGTGGGATGTTAACTGAGGTCGGAGTTTCCTTCTGCTCCTGTAGGGAATCAGCTGAGGGGATATGGAAAAAGATCTCTGCTGCGAGGAGATCCTGGGATGGTCCCAGGACATTAGATTCTAATTTAAATTTGTTTTCTGCTCTGTTTGAAGGTTTTAAAGTGCCTGTCA